ACAGTTCAAATAATCAAAAACCGTAGCTTTACTACTAGAACAACAACTGCAATCTGGAAAAACCTTTTCCATCAAAGAGAAATAAAGGCCTAGAGACCCATTGAAATTATAAGAGCTCAAGGTCCTTCACCACATGGTTGCTACCCGTAAACTTTCTTGCTATATCTCTCAATAGCCTTTGCCACCCTCTCGGTCCAAAGATACCAAAGTTCTCGAAAAAGCTGTTGGAGACACGACATTGGGAGGTCACTCATCTAGACCTCCCTATTAGGGTATCCGCGGACATAATCTTGGGGAGTAACATTCCCTGGCGTTGGTAAGAGGGCTGGTCCAAGACACCCATCTATTACTATGTAATATAGTCACATCTGCCATCGATCTAGAGACGATGCCATCTAAAAAGTCACTAGAGAGGCATTCCATGATCGCACAATAATCTGTATATCACATGGATTGCAAACCTCGACTTACCTGAACTACATTTGTATGCTTGACCAGGGAAGGGATATGGCTATCAAGAAGCCGGCCATTTTATGAGGCCCAAATGATGGGTTTGACAGTCTTGTTAGAAGAATGGGTACGCGTAACTTTAAGTTAAATGACAAATACAATCTGATGGTGGCAGGTGCAGCATTCATGCCGGGGGAGGCAGATACTCCATCTAGAGCCACCATGGCCACGTAGACAGAACGTCACCATGACTGTTTTCTGAATAGTTCATTATCTAATAGGGCCTATATAACCCACATCTTGAAAGGTAGGTATACCAACAACCAAAAACCAAGGAGGGTGACTATTTATACAAAGCCATGGATAGCCAGCATTCATTGCAGCTATATTCCTTAGTACATAGTCACTCCTCCTTCTTCCATTGGCTGCCATCACGAAGATAATTAATTTGGTCATCAGTGCAATTGGAAATACAGGCCAGCATGTCGCTCAATTCCTTTCCAAATCATTGACTCTAGTCACATTTAAACCCAAGCACAGGGCATCATCTAAAACGTCTATTCATTGCGTCTAAGAGGGCAAATGTACTTCACTATATATTCAACTATCAGAAAACCCCTTCGCTCTTGTACTTAACATTACGATGGGAGAGACTTCAAATAACACCGTAGTAGGTAATTGGGCTCTATATATATCCGCCATCGCTGGGTAACACCGTAACACTCAGTTCCCTCAATGATGGGACCGATACAATACCTAGTGGCTCCGAGTAGTTGGATATCAATTTCTATTTGAGGAATTTACCGAAACACTTAAAAGTCCAAGACAGTACTGGGCAAATTCTTGGAGTCTGCGCAGACATACAGTTGTACGTCTTAGAATTAAGTAAAGAATAATAGAGCATTAGGGTTGCCATGACTAATCATCAATAACCGCCATATCTACGTACAGATCACATGATATCAAACTCCGGCGACCGCCCGAAAGGAGCAGTTATTGAACGATCGTTTCCCCCGACCACTCGATTGATACAACCATTTGCTGCCTGCCGTCGAAGCAGATCCAGCATCTATTAAACCCGGTGGCAAACATTGCCCTGGATGTATTCGTCAATGCAGCGAGGTAGGCTGCTTTCGTCTGTTGCACGACCCTGCCGATTTATTGCGCACCGCCGATATCCCGCAGTTGTCGGCTCGACTCCGCGTCGATTCCACCTTTCTCGAGGGTGGCAATCATCAGTGCCTTCAGACCCCGAAGATGCACGCGGTACCTCTCCGGCAAGTGTCACAAGTGATATTCCGACCATAAATTCCGAACAAACAGTACCCGGACATGATGCCTCGTCGATTACATCGTCCTCCGCAGAGCCCGCCGGGAAAAAGGAGTCGAGTCCCTATGGGTCGGCCGTGCGAAGAGCGTTGAGGAACAGAAAACCGCTTAAGGAATGGGCTGCGCCGACTGCAACTGTTCCTTCTTGGTTTTATGAGAGGAATACCGTGTTCAACGGAGGCGAAGACCACGCCGCCTCAGATCTTCCGCAACAAGTCAAGATAAGCAAACCGGAGCCGGAGAAGGTCAAGGAAACATCTGATGGCATGGCTCACGGTGGTAGTGGCAATGGAGAGCCGTCGGAATCCAGTGGTTTGCCCGACACCGGGGAGCGGTACGCTTTGACCGAGGCGTTGTGGGAGGAGCTATGCGCATCTGCGAAGGCGGGCTTACGACTACCCCCTGCAAAATATGCGAAAGAACCTTCGGCACGAAAGTCCCATCTCGTCCTTCAGTACCCTGGTGCAGATGGCATTTTGTTCCTAGATGCGGTTGTAAAAAGGCTAGCGCAGGAACTTGGTGCTGACGTGGTGACGCTCAATGCTCAAGATATTGCGCAACTATGCAGTGAACAGGACCTGGAGGATGTCGGCTCGACTTCACCTATTAGATCTCTTGGCTATGATGTATACCGTCCAACGGCTTCAGAGTCCTGGCATGACGACGGCATGGGTGAAGGAGATGATGAAGCTGAGGTTGAGATCTCTCCGCGCAGTCTGCGCTCCGGTCTGAAGGGTCCCAAGTTTATCACAATCGAGAGTTCCCGAGAGGCAGGCGACATTCCTCTTCCCGGTATACTTGGCTTGAAATCGTTAGTCTCTGCGTTCAACGGACCTGTAGATGGTTCGGCAGCATCATCAAACCCCACAGATCGAGCAGAGGACCGGCGGCTCAAACTGATCAACGAGCTCATTTCCTCCGCTAGCGGGCCAAATCGGAAGTCAGCCGCCGAGCTACCTTTGGACAAGCCTGCAGAATCTAAAAGCTCTGAAAACAAAACACCTGTCCGTGATGTGATTGTGCAGATCCAGGACTATGGAGAAATACAGGCTACTCGTGAAGGAGCTAGATTCATTTACTTATTGCAAAAAGCTATTCAAGACCATAGAAGGAATGGGTCTCGTGTTCTATTTGTTGGAACTGCATCGCAAGACGCCGCTTCAGAATCGGACGCATCAAGACTCATGCAAAATGCATTTGATGATCAATTCTCGCAAATGCTTGTCATAACTCCTGCCATGGGATTGGAAGCAGCAGAGAAAGTTTTCACGGATGATCGGAAAAAACGAACCTTGGATATCAACATCCGTCATATTCAGGATATGCTCCGGACAAGGCTGGAGGATTCTTCAGCCTTCGAAGACAACATATTCGGCAGCCGTGCTTGGCCACTTGATGCGTCCACCGTGAAAGAATCTGGACTTGAAGAGCGGTATTGGCCCTACAGCCAGGTGCATTGGGCCACAACACTTGCACTCGGGAGTCTTGGCTCCGACGAACTCTTTGGTTTCCAGCACATCCAGAAGGGAATCGAAATGATGCAGAGAACAGATCGCATTAAGAATGATTGGATGCAAGAGAAATCACCCAAAACGAAGCACACAGAGACTGGTAATGATCGGGAGCGGCTGTTGAGTTCATTACGCAAAACATGCAATTCCCATGAGAAGAAGTTGCTGAGTGGGGTTGTGGACGCCAAAAGCATACGTACTACGTTCTCTGATGTCCAGGTCCCTCCAGAGACCATCGATGCCCTGAAGACACTCACCTCGCTTTCTCTCATTCGCCCGGAAGCTTTTACCTATGGTGTTCTCGCTACGGATAAGATTCCCGGCTTACTACTGTACGGGCCTCCTGGCACCGGTAAGACTCTCCTTGCCAAAGCCGTAGCTCGCGAGAGTGGAGCCACTGTCCTCGAGGTTAGTGGTTCCGAGGTCTATGACATGTATGTCGGTGAGGGTGAGAAAAATGTCAAGGCTATCTTCACATTGGCCAAGAAGCTTAGCCCATGTGTTGTATTCATTGATGAAGCTGATGCTATCTTCTGCTCGCGGACCGGAGCCAGCAGTCGCACATCCCATCGGGAGCTCATCAACCAATTTTTGCGGGAATGGGACGGGATGAATGACCTGTCAGCTTTCATTATGGTTGCCACCAACCGACCCTTTGATCTTGATGATGCCGTTCTCCGGCGTCTCCCGAGACGACTGCTCGTGGACCTCCCCCTTGAACAAGATCGGCTAGCCATCCTAAAGATCCACCTGAAGGAAGAAAATCTCGATAGTTCTGTTGACCTCGCCGAGCTAGCTCGCCGCACTCAACTCTACTCTGGATCTGATTTGAAGAACCTTTCCGTCGCCGCGGCTCTAGCCTGCGTCCGGGAGGAGAATGACCTGGCGGCTCAGCACCAGGGCGACGAGCCCTACCAATACCCAGAAAGACGCACGCTGACCTGGAAGCATTTCGAGCGTGGAATGGAGGAGATCAGCGCCTCCATCAGCGAGGACATGTCGTCACTCTCGGCGATCCGCAAGTTCGACGAGCAGTATGGCGACCGCAAGAATCGGCGTAAGAAGAGCCTGGATGGGGATTCACGCCTGTTAGCACCGAGGAGGCTAGCTCCGATGCGGCACGCGTACGGACAAGACATGACTACAATATGGGAACATTTTAGAGGGATTGGTGTTCATTCTTGCGACAATAGGATTTGGGATCTCACGCGACGATTTGTATACTATTAGCGATATGATAAACCTGTATCAATACATACCATAGGCCGAAAAGTGACATATAATTTGTTGGATTGTATACTTAGTATAACCCTATCCTCGTCAGAATGAAGACCAACGGTGTGGCTGTTCCCAGGTGGTTCCCCAGCCCTATCAGATCTGCAGACAAAATCGGCGATGACATCGACGAGTAAATCTCCGCCTTTTTCGTCGACGAAATCATCACCCGACCAACTCTCTCTCCTCACCCCCTCTCGAGAGAGTCACTTCGCGGGGATCAAGAAGAGGGTCCTGAGAGAAAAGAGTCTTACAATCTACTACTTATTACTATTGGAATCACCATCTACAACCCAATATCCCTACACGAGCCATCTCATTTTCTCCTCACGCAACACTCCACACGACCTTTTACCCCTCACAAACACGGTCACCCGCTAAACCACCAACACAAACCTCCACACACATAAAAGTACCCCCCAAAATACATTAAAAATGGCCACCGAAGCCCGCGACTCCGCAATTCGCGAAGCAAAACTCTACGTCCGCGAAATCGTCCGCAACGACTGGACCTTCAAGCCCTCCACCGACGCGGGCGCACCTGCATCCGCAACCCCCACGCCACCGGAGCAAGAAGTCACAGCATGGCGACTGCGCACATACGACAGCTCCGCGTCGGAGCTGGAGCCGCTTTCTTCGCCTACGATTACCAGTCCGCCTAGCGGGTATGACTCTGCACAGATTGAGAGTCCTGTTTTGTCGCCGGCGGGGGACGAGAGGGCCGAGCGGAGGCGCAAGCGGCGCAGGCAGATGGAGGAGGAGATGCAATGGAATGAGGGGCTGAGGACTTGGGTGGAACGGCGGGATGCATGGACCTGCGCAAAATCGAGGGAGGAGATTGTTGCGAGGAGGCAGCTGAAGCAAGCGCAGGCTCAGGCGGAGGCGACTACCATTAACGAGGAGACACGCGACCAGGGTGCGTCTTCTGGGTCTGCCTTTTCGAGGCCGGCTTCGTCTTCTTCGCAGGATGAGGTGAATCTCGTGACGAGGACCGAGGCCTCACTTTCTGTTGCGGAGAAGGAGGAATCGGGTCCGTCGTCGGTATCTGCCCAGCCCCAGCATGGTGAAGATCAGAAGGAGTCTACTGAGACGGGGGCCACAGAGCCGGAGATTGCTCTGGTGGCAGATGATGCTATGGACATCGTCGCAAATGCAGCGACGCCCGCTCCTGCGCCCGCCACCGCTGCAGCCACCGCGACAGCCTCTAAAAAGGCTCACCAGGGTTCTGAAGACCCCTACGTACCCGTCGTACCCTCGCTGATCTCCGCCTCTAACCCTATTCGAGCCTCAATTACACCTTCTATGTACCCCTCCATCTACTCAAAGGTTGTCGTGCAGGGCCTAACCCCCACGGTCCCGATCAACCTGGCCGACGTTACGAAGGCAATGGTCCAAGGCTGGAAAGCAGACGGCCAATGGCCGCCCAAACCAGCTACCACCAATCTCGTGCTCCAAGATACCGCGACGGTGCCCAAGACCGCCGAGGACGGACAACCGTCATCTCCAGAATCAAAGAGAAGATCAGGTGTCGTCGGCGCGGTCCGCAAGGTACTACATTTCTCGGGGTTCCACCCGCACCCTTTCCATCGACGCTCAAGTCATAGCGCTCAAGGGGAAGTGAACGGTGCTGTGAGCACCGAGAATGCAGGGAAGAAGATTTGATGTCTCTGTCGATCTATTTTTCTTTTCTTTTCTTTTATTTTCTTTTCGCCTTTTACTATTGCCGTTATCTAGTTTATTTGCATGCTGTCATGCTATGGGCAACGACGTACTATCTCCCCACCTTTACTTTTCTTTTTTTGTGAATATCGACATCTATCAGTGTACTATCGATAATATCTGGGATATGTATGATTGACGTGACGTCAGAAGTATGATCCTACCCCTTCCTTGAATGTTCCTCTACGTGTATGTATATTGCGATTGATCTCCTTGCATAAACATCAAAGACGCATGTTTTGGACGCCATGCTTGACGAATGAAAGTGGTCATGAATCAATTCATTGTGAATGTGCTCCCTTCTATCCAATCAATCATACAAACAAACACTAAAGTACACATATGCGTGGTTCAGGCTATGAGTTCTGATATGATTTCGGTAGTTCATCAATTCCATCCAGCCCCAAGAACACCATGTGCAGACCGTACCAAGCAACCCACATACGCCTCTTATTAATAAAATGGGTCATAATTAGCCTCATTAGATAGTGGTGGATGTGGAATGCAAACTAATGGAACGTATCAAATGAGTCAAGAGCCCGTAGCGTATCCAAGAAATTTCCAGCAGCATCATCGAATATCGCCAAGGGGAAATTTTCCAAATTCGCAGCCATGGATGGCTCGAGGTTGACCTCCTGCGGTTGGTGGCAGCCACGTCGAGTGAAGTAGTATATGCCTTGGTGTCTGGACCAGCTCTCGTTGATGTAGGCCTGGAGTTCGCGCGTTGCGGAGATGCGGATCTCGTTGAAGAATTTTGGGGCGTTGGTAGGTGTGTTTTCGGGTGTGAAGATACTGGACGGGTGAGGGACGTTTTCGGGATCGGTTATGAGTAGCTGGTCATGTAGGAATGATGCGCTAAACAGTATGAGCTGGCGGAAAGCCTGTATCTGGGCTATGATGTTCTCGCCTGCGTCAGTGGCTCGATCAATGTAGCCCACGACCCGCAGGGATGATGTTATCATTTCAATGAAAGAAGCAACTGTGATTAATACTGGGGGTTCTTTGAGCAGGTTGATATTGTTGATGATGCTGTGCAGAGCATGATATGACGACTGGAAGACGGAGCTGAAAATACCCACGACTGATGCAACACAGCTCGTATCTGTGGTATCTATATGGAAGAGCAATTCTTTGAAAGTATGCGATATAGTCTGTATGATCGGTTGGCTCAGCAGCCATGCACCGGGGTTGCTGAAAGCCGTCTGAAGATAGGCTGGAAACACGGATTGCAACAGGGTAGCCCTCAGGGTTGGCCTAGCCGGATCTCCCACTTCGTAGGTATGCGCTATGGAAGTCTGCAACTGGTCGACAAGGTAGACCTGCTGACCATCTATAGCGGCTCGCTCCGATATGCCCTGGATGAACATGATCAGGGTTTTTGCGACCTTTTCAGATGAGAGCTTCGGCTCGTAACCCTTCAATCGTGCAACGATGTAAGTCGGATCGGTCGAAGGCAAAGGAAACGAGGTCGGGTCGGTAAAGAACGGGTCGATGGGACAGATATCCCTCGTATGCTGCTGTAAGAATCCGACAATCCGGTGGACAAAGTCCACATAAACCCCTTGTGCACTTGCTGCGCTGCTACCTAGCTCCTGGTAGTTTGCTTTCATTGAGGACATCATTGTCTGGATGAGTTCACGGTACTCTTGCTTTTCAGTCGAAAGTGCTTTACTTGCTGCAATCTCCAGGTCTTGGATGTGTGCGCGCATGTTTGACAGTAGACTTGATATCAAAGACAACCGACGTTGACTGAGTTCTTCTAGCGTAATTGAGTATCGGCCATGCTTTCTATCCACAGAGAAGGGTAAATTCTGCAACAAAGTATTGGTCGGATCGCAATTCAACAACGCTTCAGTCAAAGCGTGCTGGAATTTCAACATCGATACCCGCTCAACCAAGCTCGACAACCACATCCCCAGGACTTGCATCTTGCATTCAGACATGAATCGAGCATCTTTTTCAATGCAGCTTGCCAAGAACTTAGGTGTGAACTTTCTAGTTTGCACTGTCTTTCGAAGCACGGGCCAGGAATCACCGTCGTAAAGGCTCAGATAATTGTCCCAATGCCGGAGTCCATTTTTCACAAGCACTTGGGCGATAGAAGTCCAACAGTCGACAACACTTAGAAGGATTGCGTCTTCCGGGCAGTGGTCCTCACCAAAGCAATTAGATACCAGCTGGGATACTGCTGGGTGAAGGACTTTCTCCACGTATTCGATACCTTGAGGATGGGTTGCAGGAGAAAACTCATCACCGTACATTGCCTCGATGTCGGCCCAATCTCCATACTCTTGGCTATCTTCATCCACTAACACTGGTGGGTTTGCTGATCCAGTAGCAAAGACGGAGCTGCACTTGTGAACATAGGCCTTTAACATCTGCAGAGCTTCTGACACTGTAGTATTGACACGAGCAAGCCTAGGGTTGAAGAGCCCCAATACCATACCGATAGGTGATTTAGAAATCAGTCTGTGAGCGTGCTCCAGTGTTGGGGCTGATTGAATAGCGTTTTGTAAGCTACTCAGGGCAGTTTTCAGTAGAGACTCGATCTGTCTCTGATTCTGTGAAATCGTCCGTTCGATTAGCTGGTGAGAAAATTGATTGTCCTTTGTGTTTTGCGCTTCTATCTCCCTTCGAGCTAGCATATGCTGTTTGATGAATTCACTAACGAAGTAACTATGCCAATCAGCAAATGCTTCTAACCCAGATACATCCTCGTCCGTGGACAACTTGAAGCGCACAAGTCTAGCCCATGATCGAATACTGATATTGCAAGTTTCGCGGTGGGAGTTGGCAGGATGTACAAGGTTCTTTATCGCCTCTAATCGAGGTCGGCACCCATCCGGGACTGCGAAGTATAACGTGCAGAGCAGATCGTGGTGGTTTCTTAAAGCATCCAAATCTGCCTGGTGGATAGGCTGCTCTTTTGGGTATACCCGGCCGTGATTTGGCAATAGGCGCCAAGCGAAATTCCGCACTTTCTTCTTATCATATAGTTTGGACAGAAAGCGCAAGCCACTTGCGATGATCTTCAGAAAGATATGGAAGACTGGGTCACTCGGCGTGACGTCAATGGATGGGTTGTGGTCGAGCTCATCCAAAAATGAGGGAGACGTGTAGTTCTCTTCTTGTTTCAGATTATATAAGGTGTTCCTTGCAAAGAAATCGTAGAGCGTATCTAAGATTAGTTTGCAATCCCTCCACCCCCAACCATTAATAAGAAGGAAGCATCTGTGAAACAGAGTTCGGCAGTAAGTGTTGTAGGAGATAGAGACTGAAGTATTGGGCTCATAACTTTCCAAAACAGGGCACAGAAATTGTTTCACTAATTTCCAGTTGTTAGAAGTCCCTCTGAAGCGTGATCCAATTCGGGCGATTCCAAGAGCGTCAATTTCGCCCAACGGTAGGGTAGTTAATAGCCAATGCCACCTGGTTTCTAGGCAATCGATATTCTTCGTATTGCTCAAATCTCCAGCTGACAACAAAGAGTCGGCAACGAGCCCTTCAAAGCAGCACTTCAGCTTTTCCGTACCGTGTAATACCTGCTGAACAATGACGTAGGCCTCAACGGCTGGGTATTCCTCTCGGACCCCTTTCTCGCGTTGTTCGCACACCTTGTTATCTTCGAGGAATTTGCGAATATTGACTTTCCCTACTGAGCTCGAAATGGCTGTAAAGGCTTGTCTAGAAACTGACCTCACAAGTTCCAAGGCCTCTTCCGTTACGCTGTCATTGACGAGGGTATGACAAGCTATCTGATAGGTTAAGTTGGCGAATACGACATTATAAGAAGCAATTCTCGTACGATACTCTGTCCCTCGAGCTGTTTCCGAGACCAATGCGGTTACATTATCATTGATCTTGGAAATAAGCGCATGGGCTCTCGTTATAAAGCCTGTTCTGTCGATAGGGTCGATGAACGTCAGAGCTTCCGTAACGTACTTGACCAGGGTCCTGTAAATAATGTAGGTGCGATTGAGTGCGTTTTCAATGGCCGCCTCTGTGGACATCGTGCCACTCTTTTCCACTTCCTCAAGCATGGTATCAAATGCAATGCCAAGTTCAGAGGACACAGCATCATTCCAAGGTCCCCACCGAAAAGTTCGATCCAAAACATTCGCAGTAAAAATGCCAGTATCTTGGTCGAGATCACGCTTGCCGAGCTCAAGCGAGTGGTGAAATTCCCCACTTCCAATAAACGAAGATTCATGGAAAAAGGTTCCTAGGCCTAGAGGAGTGATACCAAAATCCGTAGAGTACGAGCGTTGAAAACCACTTAGTCCGTCCGAGACTCCTTTATTGGGGTCTGCATCTTCCCCTTGGACCCCAGAAGGGTCTTGATCTGCGGAGAGGATAAGTGGATCCGTATCTTCAGCGGTGCTAACATCCATTCTCATGGGAGTACGTTTCTTCAACTTCCGCTTGATTTGAACTGGACGCTTTGGGAGCGGTACGCTCACATCATTCGACTCGCGAGTGACGGTGCTTCCCCGCGCCTTAGCATGAACAGATGCTTGGCTACTGTCCACGAGAAATCGATTCAATATTATATTTCGGTCCACAGTCTCGGGTAAGCGTCTTTGCCTAGCATTTTGATTGAGTAGGGAAAGTGACCTTTGAAAGGATGGCGCTCGGGAAACATTAAGGCTCGCCATTTCTATCCCGACAGGTCTTGGATCGTTTCTTTTTAGAGAGGAAACGACAACGTTTCTCCGGACAAACCAGTTGTTGCCATTCTGAATACGCTGCATAGGCTTCTCCGAAGTGGGGAGCGCTGTAGCCGGTGGAGTTTCTGGATCCGGCATCTGACTCCGGGCGACGTTGATATCGTCCGGTCGTGTCGCTGGTCCAGTAATGATGGGGTGGTCTTTGTTTATTTCCCCAGATCCATGATTTCTGGGTCCAATTTTCTTGTTTGAAGAAAGATCCGCCAATGGTGGTCGCCTGGGGGCCTTTGCTTGAGGCTTGGGCAACTTCGACTGCCGAATACGCCCGGCGCGCCATTCGCGCAACGATGTGTTGGCATCTTCTGTGTCTAGAGCTGAGCTCATTTTGATGACTTTATTTAAAGGGCTTCGTCTGCCCTTATCCTGACGAGACCGTGCTTTGCGAGCAGCAACTCTGAGAAACTGTGGCTGCTCGTTTCGAGGCCGAGAAGCAACATCGGGGGCATCCAATATACCAAGCCTCGGAGAAGTGCGTGAGGGATATTTCTTGTTTTCGCGCTTGTAGATGGGATCCGTAAGCCTAGCTTGTTTCTTAAGGCGAAGCCGCTTAGGATGCCTGTCAGAACGAGCAAAATGGCTCTCAGGCCTTTGTCGTTTTTGGCCTCCCTTTTGGGTTCGAGGAGCTGAAGTTTCACGTGTTGCTGATGGAAACATGTAATCGATGCGGTTGTCTTCTGGAATGTCCTCGCCCATATCTTCCGCTAGGAAGGTGTCATCGAATCCAACCAAGTTGGCTAGTATCTGCCGCGCATTGTTTTGACCCCCATTGCCGTCATCTTCATCCGTATCACTACCATCAGAGTCAGCAAGATGTCTTAGTGATGCCAAATGTTCGACCGGGTGTGACGAAGTTGAGGGGCCAGTTCTCTTGGTTATCTTTTTAGCGACACCCTTGGCGTTTTCTGTCCTGGAATTCTTGTCGCGATTCCGCTGTGTAGAACTCAGCTGTGCATCCTTTTGTCTTTGTTGGTCTAACCGCAGCCACGAGGCCGGAAGTACACCTTTGATTCTACGTTGAAGTTCACGAACGTCCTCTTCAGGCTCCTCTCCTTCTTCATCCTCTCCATCATTCTCCGAGGCGGAATGACAATGTTGAGAGGCTGTCGACCGGACATCAACAGGCTCTCGATCAACGTCAGATCTGGACCCGTAGGCTATGGTAGTGGCACCTCGCCCTTCCCGCCTCGAGGCTGTGTTAGGTGTGTTTAACGTAGGAGGCGTGAACCCACGAGGGAACCGAAACTCAGTGGGATCCCATAGGGCCTGCGGGGAGGAGTTACTTCCAGAGCGTGGCGGACTGGGCAGTATGTCACGAGCCAAGCTACTGTTCAAGTTGATAGGAGGTGTACAGTTGTTTATTACCACTTTAGGCCGTGGCTGGTGCCGTAATGAGTTCCGATGATCGTCTGGCCTTGACACTTTACGCCTCTTAGGCCCTCTGATCTCGTTCTCAGATAGGTCCTGACGGAGCGAATGGGGTTGACTTCCATGATGATCTTGGGGTGCTCTTCCTGCAGAGGTAGAATTTCTTTCCGCGGGAGACGATGGAGCAAACTCGAAGTCCGCAGTAGGGCTGCTCGAAGGTGGCAGGGTGCTATCAAAGCTCTGACCTTGACCTTCAGCCGCCGCCTGCATTGTTTGCTGGTATTGAGCGGCGGGTACTGGTTTAATCCCTCTTGCCTTCATAAGTTTTTGGTATTTCGCATTCTCCAAAAGATATGGGTGCAACTGGATGGGATTGCGCTGCCGTAAGGACCTTCGTGATGGCTGAGACATCTCTCGCAGTATATCTTCTGGGATTTCGAGAGGAGGAAGCAACGCATCTAGGTTACTCTCTGCCGATAGATTATCTGTATTCTCTTGATCATGTTCATCACCTTCACCCAAAGCCAAAGAGTGGAGGGACGTCAGTGGTGAAGACAAAGGCGAAGGGTCGGAATTCTCGTTATGCTTCTGTTGCTCGCCAGTGTCTGGCACTTCTGAATGAAGGCCGACTGACCTCCAGGAAATCCGATGGTCCAGTTGTAGTTCGTCTGGTGAAGAGCTAGGTACGCTCCATATGTCTTCGCTTTGCTCTCTTAGCGGGGTAGACGGTGGGCTTGGTCTTGGTCTTGGAGTAGCGGATAGAGTCGGGGATGGATGCGACTTTCTCGTAGGCGTGGCATCCTCGCCATTGGGATCTTCTGACAACGGTCCTTCAGCGATATCCCTAGCTTCCTTGTCGGGCATCTCTTTAGACTTCGCTTCCTCATTTGCCTCGACAGGCACATTATCGAAATATGGACTTGTTGGGACAAGTCGGAAATCAACACTGTCGCCTTGGGGGCTATGGTGCTCCTCTTCCTTGGTGTCTTCATCCTGGGGGGACTGGGGAGTCGTATCGAGCGCATCGGGCGTCGGGGATGCTCCAAGCTCATCGTCACTACCATCGAGATCCTGATTCACCTCTCTCGGGCTGTCCAGCCCATCATCCTCGTCTGAGTCCGGTACAAACCCTCGTTCCCGCCATGATTCCATTTGTTTCCTTTGCGCTGATGGCCCATCTCCCTAATACCCCATTACTTCGTAGGCGTACGCCGAAAACAAGGGGTCTCCGTACCCCCAAATACTAATTGGAGATCAGATATCACCACTAATATAGGATATGTTTAAGGGATTAGTTTCCAGTAAGGGTGTGGCCAATTCAGAATTGCTTGGAAGTGGATGTTCGGGAAGACGCGTTGAAAGGGTGGGGAGACGCGACGGAAATTATTCATGGCGGAACTTTGGCGATTGATGCGGTAAAACTGTTAATGACTTCCTACTCTGGACATCCTCCTTGGCTTCCCGAGAAACGATCTTACTCAAAGCAAAGGAATAGTGCTAGACATTTTCCATTCCACAGTTTCCATCTGAGAGCAGTATGAGTCGAAACTGGATTCCGGCGCTTGTAGCCATTGGAGTGGGAGTCTTTTCAGGTTGGTACTGTTCAGAATGCAGAGAGCCAGAGTCGTCCACTAACTTCGCTCCTCCACTGCAGGCTATTACACCTTCCAACCTTTACTGAAGGATTTGCAGATGGAGAAAGCAGGCTCCCAGCGGTATGTCGCTTTACCTACCTTGAGGATAGTCCGCCCTTCGCCCCTTCCATGAACTGATACGATGCCGTTGGATATTTTCAGACTTGAACTAGGAGAGCGAACTCAAGCCCCTAACGGTGCTCAGACCCCTACTGCGAACATCAACGAAGGCTCAAACGCTCCAGTGACGCCAGATACAAAAACCACTCAGGCCGGAAATCCAAAGTAGATAGCAAGGGGGAATAGGTACTCAGTTCAGTGGCGCTTTCCTAATGCGATGCCCCCCAGGTACACAAATGACCTGTCAGAGCTCGTGCCAGCAGACCCCAATCTCAAATTTCTAAAATCGGCTCCCATGGAACGTATAGAGCGAGTGGAAAGAGGTCTGCGTCAAACAACATCTGCCACCCTTTTCTGACAAGTAAGTCGGCCACTGGCTATTGAACCCTCATGGTTGACCATCAAGGGTATGCATGGTAAAAAGACGATCCCAAGAGCAATATATCTTGGAATCTAGTTTGTGGTGGCTCAGTTTGCCTACGAGCAAACATCCAAGTAAATATCTCTGCATCCTGTAACTACGCGCAATTTTATAGAACATTATTCGGTATTAAAACAGGTATTATTTAGCATATTTCCACCAGCGTTAACCTTCTAACAATCATAACTGAAAACAGCCCTATTTCCTATATAAACTCCCCCGAACCGGGTATGCCAATCACTAGATACACAGTAAGACGATGAACGGGCAAACCAGGCTTCTTCAATATACAGCCCAATTCCGTTTGACAAGACATTGTAAATAGACCTAGGGTGTTAAACTTGACTTTTCCAGATACGCCAGCTCCGTTTGCACCTGATTTCCAACCTATTCGGTTATACTTCTTCCACCAGCTTTCTAGGTCCGCTGTTTTCCAAGGGCGTTTCCCCAAAGACTCGTCCTGCAGGAGTACCAAGCCATTCCTCTGATACAACGACCTTGCTCCCCTCGCGCCCACTAATCCATCTGACCATAGCTGGGTCCAGTCTCTCAAATTCATGCGTTTGTTGCTCTGCAGAGGCTGTTTCAGCCGCTTCAGCAGCCGGAATCCGACCACGCCTCTTCGGGGCTTGCTTTCGTAGAAGCCGATTGATTGTATCCATCTGTCCTCTTGCGTTAGTGTTCATTGCTTAACAAGGAAAAAAGATTTTTTCCTTGATAGCCATCCAATAGGAAAACAAGAATTTAGAGTACGCACCTTTTCTTCTTCATTCCGCTTTTCGCTAAGGTTCTTTCTTCGGCGAGCCATTTCCGCACGGCGCATGGCGCGCTCTTCTGCGGTCAAATGCTTCTTTACTTGTGGTTCTGCGCTGCGTTAGACACTATCCCCGAGACAACCTCGCAAGACTTATTTAAGACTTACCCATCGGGAGTTGCAAAAAATCGTTGCCCAGGTTACCTCTTTGGCGTTTGGTCATCCGGGCAGGGTCGGCTGTAGGAGTATCATCGTCACTGTCGAGATCTTCCTCGTCCTCTTCATCCTCATCTAGGTCCTCCTCGCCCCCATTGACGTTTCCAACTCCACTCTCTTCCTGATCATCAGGCTCACCTTCGGCATCAGATTCAGGATCAGAGAGCTCCTCGTCATCTTCATCCTCATCGGCATCTAGTTCCATCTCTTTCGCCTCGACGCCCTTCACTGCTTTAGAACTGGACACAGCAGGTCTAGCGTGTCTTTTTGACACCGGAGGTTGCGGAGGAGCATCATCCATGTCTAAATCTCCATCTGCGTCTGCATCCTCGTCGTCCTCACCGGGAGCATCTTCATCGTCCACTTCATCTTCTTCCTGATCGTCTAGATCTTCGTCGCTCGTATCAACTTCGACGAGCTTCTTCTTGGGCCGGCTAGTCCGTGGCCCTGTAACTATGGGATTTTCTGTGAAAACATTGACGGAGCGTCTTGAGGCACCATTTCTTGTATTACTACTGGTAACCTCGCGCAGCTTACTTGAAGGCATCTTGACAGTCAAACGAATAGATCTCCTTGACTCCTCCGGAGAGTCTGAGGGGGACCGGAAGACGGTCACTGAAGAAGATGCGACAGCGCGAGTAACTCTGGTTGGGGTTCTGGGGCTTGCGTTAGAATCCAAGTCTGGTGGATCATCCCGCACAGGCGGGAGCGAAGTGAGCGGCGCAGAGACATGATCGGTCGACAAGATTGACTTGATACGGGGTATGGCTGGGAAAATGATAGAGCAAAGGGTATAAAAGGTAACAAGGTGAACTCTCGAAAAACGACAAACGAACTGAGTTCGTTAAAACGCAAACAGGAACAACCAGGGGAAAACACAAAATGAGGCGGGGGTTTAGTCTCGTATAGGTGGACAATAGTAGTCAGAGGATAGTCAACAATAAGGCTATCTGAGATGGTTGTGTCATCTGACGGTGAGGCAAGTTCGGTCGTGTAGGATATACAGAGGGGAAAAGAGGGGAATGATTGATGGACAAGGAAACAGCCATGCGGTAGTTATGACCAACTGACTACGTGGGCCAGTACAGAGAGGTGGTGGTGATGCAGTTCGGGAAGGCACAGGCCATCAATCCCTATCACATCTTTTGACGCCACTTGGAACTTCCCATCCGACATGAAGGACGGAACCAATGGGAACATTCTGGACTAAGTTATACACCAGTCAAGGGCGGGAGCGCGGTGAACGCAGCGTTGGTGCGTTTTTTCTCCTGCAACCCCGACAGGATATTACTGTCCGTTCTGTGCGCTGTGGACAGGGATCCTTGACCGAACGAGGGAGGTGGATACAACTCTAATATAATCGGAGAAAAGTGAAGGGAACGATGCGATAAAAATAAATCATAATAAAAAAAGGGGTACAGGAGTAGATTAAATCCACGGGTAAATGGGTGTGGGCTGTTGCCCTGAGTACATGGATCCATGTATGTATACGAAAGGGAATAAAGGGAAAACTCACAAAGGACAATGTCGGATTGGTGAGGTACGCACCACCCAATCGTCTCGAAATTGACGCTTCTGTATATATTTCCAATCGTTGCTGGAGGATCAATGTATATATTACTCAGTCGAACCAATGGCTCGCACAGTCCCTGATGATCTTCTTGGTCTATTCCTGTCGCAAATGACCGATGGGAGACAATCGGAACCCGTCATGTTCATCGTTAATTCTGCCGTCAGGCGGTATCCCAATCTCCGACCGCCTACCCTAGACGGGTTTGCCATGTGGACCAGCATTACCACGCATGACAATACCGAGATTAAACCTTCTCCGGAGGACAGCCGAGGTCGCAAGAGGTCAAAGCATTACTTACTAGCACTTCTCCCTCACATGGTCGGAGAACTGCCTATCTTTTCCTGCCTTCCTCACTTCTTTCCTCTTCCAATTGATTTGTTTCATGGTACGATCACTTCATTGCATCTAGCTCGTTCCTCATCACTTGTAACACACCATGGCTGATTCGAAGCCCAAACCCCCTTCAATCCCCGAATGGCAACGGCCCTCCGCCACCAACTCCGCCTCCGCATCTCCGCCGAGCTCCGATGATGCTTCACGATCGGACCTGCTACAGCAAGCGACCAAGTTCTTAGAAGACGAGTCATTGCGCGACGCACCGCTAGATCGCAAGGTATCATTCTTGGAATCTAAGGGTCTCCGACAAGATGAAATTGACAGCCTGCTGGGCGTGTCGCGAAACTCCGAGGCAACGGCTGCACCCGAGGGCGATAACAAGACCACCGAGCGTAGCACGACGAAGGACACACCAAGCGACTCTGCCTCTTCATCGTCTTCTAGTTCGACATCCCAACCATCCTCTTCCCCTGATACCACCATCAACAATCGGCAATCCTCGTCCGCTCGTGACGTCCCACCGATCATTACTTACCCGGAATTCCTTGTCAACCAGTCCAAACCCCCTCCGCTAGTGTCTCTTCGCAGCCTCCTCTACACTGTATATGGTGCTGCAGGCCTAGGAGCTAGTATATACGGCGCAAGCGAATACCTCGTGAAGCCCATGCTCGCCAACCTAACAAGTGCACGACACGAACTGGCCGAAACAGCCCAGGATAACCTGAAGACATTGAACGAAAAGCTGGAGCAAAATGTATCAACCATTCCTCCTCAGCTCACGGCTCGTCGCACTCAATCTACTGGCTCCAACTCGGATGATGAGACCGAGTCTGTCACATCCGACCCTGCGGAACTATTCCACCGCGATGTCGCTGTCCAGACCACGGAAGATTTCAACCTAGAGAAATCATCCTCGTCAGCCGCGAATACCGCAGACACAGAATCGTTCGACCCCAGTGCGGCTGTGAATACGCATGTAAAGCGACTTGAAGTCATCAAGTCGCATCTCCAAGAATTCTCCGAGACTGACAAGCAGTCGAGTACGTGCGATGATACTGTTCGCACTAGCCTTAACGAGCTACATCATTACCTCGATGGACTACTATACAGTAAAGCTGGCTATGGCCCGGGAACCGGCTACGGGGTCTATAGTACGCCCGGCTTTGACAGCAGCGGAAACACGGCTGGCTTGGGTAAAGGCGAAGAAGACGCCATATCCAACTTCAAGTCTGAGATTAGAGGTGTCAAGGGAGCTTTGTTGAGTGCCCGGAACTTCCCTGCTAGCCGGGGGCCGAGAATTAGTAGTGGTATCGGCAGATAAAAGGGAGAATAATTCTTTGGTTTGAGGTGACAAATCAATAAATATCATGTGAACATATACGATTATTTTTCTCTTTCTTTGGCTTGGTTACGGAAGAATGTGTCGGTTTCCAGCAATAACCAGCATGGCGTTAGGAATGATTCTGGGTACAATGGTATCGAAGATGTCTACTATACTTCGATTGCAATGTATGCCCTTATGATGGTCTATATTTCACAGTTTTTACACCTAAAGAGGTAGATATATTTTCAGTGTATACGTATAACTACACCTCGCATCCTATAAAGTCATACCAAGCAATCAATAACTGTGCCGAAGCTTTCTTATCAGGTATTCAACGCCACAACAGCATCAGATTCTTTTCATTCAGCGCAATGCTACCATGATATTCAGTCAAATCCGGTCGCATTTCCCGAGGGAACCCAATAGCAGGGGGCTTGTTGTAACAATTGTCCTAAACGTAGTATAGAATAGTCTGGTATAGTATCATCTAGAATGGCTCTATACTGAAGGTTATCAATTGTCTGTATGGTGTTACGAATATATACCATACTAGTAGGAGTCACTTATCTAGCTGTCCTTATTCTTGAAATGCCCTGAGAGCCTGAGCAGCTTAGCCTGTGAGATAAAAACTTATTGTGAAACGACTGGAAAGGTTTCATACTGATTTCCCTGTATGTTCCCGAGGTGTCAGGCCGCGCATATGGATAAAGCCGCTTTATGTCTCATTGCCTCTATATACATACGGCCGTCTACGACGATCTAGGTCTTGAGGTCTCATACCAAATAAGCCGTTTTTTGTTTAACCTCATATACATCTATATAAGGACTTTTGATCTCTCGTTTAGGGTGTAACTGAACTACGAGATCTAGAAAGCTTGTTCATAGTTTGGATTATTCTACATCCTCAGTGCTATTTGATACCTACGAATTTATACCGACAACCCAGCTTTTGAAGAGGGCTTGGGGGTTTCTTCGCTCTTCACAGCAGTGAGGGGCTTAAAACGCTTCAAAGACTGGTTCTAACGTTGAAAAATACAATTTCGGTGTAAGATCTACTGCTGGTATTTCGAGGATCATGAATAAACAATGAACATAGTAATAACATTTAGACAAGAAGAACAATTTCTAGGCCAATACCAGAGAACGTCACATTACTGGCCTTGAAAGTTGACCAACAACTACACGAAACACAAACCCTTCTTCTCATATGCACAGCTCATGAAATTTGCCTCATACACTGGTTATATGCTGTGGCCCTTTATGGAGTAGCCTTACTCATGCTGATAAGGCGTTTCACACCAACCTATTTATCCGGTTAGAACAACTCGAATACAAGACCTGAAAAATCTCTTTGAAAACTTACCATCCACTGACCGCATTCATCAGTCCTGTTGGTCAGGATATCCACGTGGATAGCACGTGCTGTCTCGTAATCACGCGCCTGAATGGCACGGGCCAAGTCTGCCATGTCAGAAACGGTGTTTGGCTTGAGCAGATCTGCGTTGTTCAGGTGGTCGAACAGAAGGCTCAAGCGCCGATCAGCATCTTCAACTTGTTGCTTGAATGACGTAGGCGCACGACCCTTGATGCGCTGCATATCCGCCGAAAGGATCTCATAGATAGGCATTGCGTCTTCAGGGATATGGGAGCGATCACCAGGTGCTAGACAAGTTAGATGGGTGACGTGAGGCAATTCCGAGGGCCACTTACGATACTTAGGAGTCGCAGGGGCCGGAGTCACCCTCTGTTGCGAAGAAGCCGTCCCGGGCCTAGAGGCTGTGGCTGGAGGTGGTCCCTGCTGCATTGGTGGTGGGGGATGCGATGGTGGTGTGCTGGGAGCATACTGGCTCGCCGCCGGAGGCTGGGGAGCATATGGGGGAGCAGCTGCCTGTGGAGGTGGAGGAACAGGGCCCCGTGCCTGAAGCTGTGGGTTTGCTGCTTGAGCTGCTGGGCTCGGAGCGTACCGGTTGGTTGGGGGAGGCATAGACGGCGGAGCGTTGTAAGGAGACGGGCCACGTGGAATTGGCGCCGGTACTCCCATGGTGCCGGGGGTTAGCTGAGGAGGGGATTGAGGCAAGGATGCATAAGGATTCGGAGGTGGAGTAGGTCCTGGGGGGATAGTAGATGGTGGAGAAGTCACCCGGGGAGGTGGAGCAGTGCCCTTTGGCGGAGGGGGGACCGAGGGAGTCCGCTGAGTAGGTGGGGCTCCGGGTGGTGGAGGTCCCTGAGCGATTGACGGGGACTGGTTCGGGAACGGCGAGCTGATAGGTGCAGCAGCTCCGGCGGGAGTTCCTCTCCGGGGTGTCGGAGCCTTCGCGAAGCCTTCGGGAAGATCGTTCCAAGCAGGGAGGTTGGTAGCTGTAGTGTACGTGGTAACAGTGGCGGAGGACTGATTCGACGCGCGTGGTGGAGGAGGCACCGAACCACCTAGGGGTTTAGTACCATAAGACGGTGCTGGCGTGGGCTGGTATCCTGTGGGAGCAAAGCTGCCTCCAGAAACCGGCGCATATGGGTTAGTTGGCTGTGGTGGGGCAGCAGCACCAGGCGGGGCGTAAGGGTTCGAAGCAGGGGCCGGAGGTGCGTATGCATTCGTGGCAGCAGTCGGAGGTGCGTACGGATTGGTAGGAGGAGCCGGGGGCGCATACAAGTTCGAAGCAGGAGCCGCATGAGCGTATGGGCTCGCACCTGTGGCTGGCGCAACAGGAGAGAATGTTCTTTGAGGCTGGTAAGCGTTGGTTGTGGGAAGAGGCTTGTTCAGTGGCGTTCCACGACCAGTAGTCGTTTGCTGCGTCTTCTGAGTAGCTGGTTGCCTCGTCGCCAGCTTGATACGATTCCTTGCAACCTCAGCTTCGGGGTGTTTCTCCGGAACAAGGTCCAAATACTTCTGGGCGACTTGTAGTCGTCCATGAGTAGCGACCACATCAGCATACTCAATGTACTTGTCGTACAGGTTGCTAAGCTTCCAGTCAGACTCCTTGGTACGCTCAGTGTCCTGGAACTTGGTGACCTGGCGGAAAATTGTCACCTTCTCGATCAGCCCTTGCAAAGCACGAACATGGATCGAGAAGGAGGTGTCATTTGCGGCTGTTTCAAGGGCCTTCTGCTCACTCTCGCGAAGCTCCTCGATCCAAATCGCGACAACCTTCTCCAGCTTAGAGCCAGCCAGGAAGCAGAACGAAGCATCTTTACGAAGGCTCTTGTCGTCCGAGGCCCGAATTTGTTCCTCTAACCGGTCACCGAGAGCGTCACAAAGATCAGCAAATTCCTTTTCATCAGCAAAGGTGCACAACGCTGCCATAACTTCCTTCCAGTTAGACAGGTCTGCGTTGTACACAACATCCCAAAGGTTCTTGCCAACAATGGATGCTAACAGGCGAACATAGTTCGGGCTCTCTGTCTGTTTGGAGAAGTAGTGTTCCTGCGCCTTTGCGATGCACTTCTGACCTCCGCAGATAGCAATCATAAAAGCATCGGACAAGCGATCTTCTTTGAGAGCGACATCCAGTGCCTTCTCAAAGTCACCGAGGAGCAATGCCCTCGTGATACCCTTGTCTGCTTCTGTCTCGGAGCCATTAAAGATGTGAAATGGGTTGTTAGTCTTAGCTCCCTTCGACGCAGCCAGGTCTGACAAGAAGTTGTCTGCTTCAGGGCTTGCGTCGAACATTGATTGCAGGCGCTTGTGCTTCTTCGCCCCCGGCCCGCGGGATTCTTTAGGAGACTCTCCATTGGTTTCCTCCTTGCCCAAGCCAAGGTTAGCCAGCTTCTCAGCAGCCTCATCAGCAGATTGGTCCTGGAACCCAAGATATTCGGCAAGTCCCTTGCGGGGATTCTCAGATATCAAAGCCTCGATGACCTTCCAGTCAGCCTTTTCTTCCTCGGTGGCAGCGTTTGCGGCTCTGGTTTCGCAGATGCTTCGAAGATCGCCCTCCTTGAGAGCATTCTCAAAGGTCTCGGTAGACTGCCCAACAGCCTCATCTACTTCGAACGGGGTGATCTTAACCTTGGAGGCACGTTGGCCCTTCTCCACCAAGTTGACAGAAACAACCCTGCCTCCAAACGCGAAAGTGGCACCACAGGGTCTCTCAAGCCACTTGGGGGCCTTGGGCAACGAAAAGCTTGAGACCTGCGGCTGGGTCTGTGCCTTTGCAAAGAAGTCCTCCCCATCAAGTGTCTGGTTCTGGTCTGCGATAGCTTGAGCAGATTCAGTGCTGGTGTTCTGAATAGTCTGGACCGCGATCTTGCCATCGAACGAAGCAGTGGCGAAGAAGTTAGGATTGTGGGGGTTCCACCGAGTCTGGAAAGTCCAGTTTGTGACGACAGGAAATTCGCCATAGGCGTGACCGGTTTGTGGGTTCCAACAGAGCGTGCGATTGTCCTTTCCAGAAGAGAGAAGCAGGTCGGGATCGTGGCTACACCATGAAAGCGATAAGACGCCAGATTCATGTCCTTTAAGGACCTATGGAACGTCAGTGATACACGAACCCTTATGTGCTAACGTCAAGATGCCAAAGCTTACCCTTTCTGGAGCATGGGAATTGCGGAGATCCCAAACATAGATCATGGGGTCCGATTCCAATGGTGTCGCCGTAACGAGTTTCGTAGGCTAGATCATGTTAGAAGCCACATCGGTTTCCAGAGTGCTAGACATAAGCATCTCACCTTCTCGGGATCCCAAGCAACAGCGCTGACAGCTTTACGGCCCATATTGTTAAGAGTCAAACTCTCCTTCTTCGTTTTGACATCCCAAACAGTGACAAACCCTGCACTGCTACCGGTAACTAAGATATGTGCAACCTTCTTATTCCAATCTAAACACTCAATATCATCCGCACGGGCAGCGGTACCGAGTCGATATGGGTTTGCGACATTGTTCAAATCGGAGATGTAGAGCTATTCCAAGCCATCAGCAATGCATTTCTGCGGGTTCTTAATCCTGACTTAGTAAAGTACCTCTCCTTTTGCACCACCGGTGGCCAACAGATTGGGATGTTTGGGGTTGAATTGGAGGGCCTTGATGGCGCCTGAGTGTTTGGTGGTTCTCGAGATCACGGCATCGTCACTTTCCGGTAATCAGCCAATGGAATTATATATGAATGACGGCTTCATCTGGAACGCACCTCGATCCATTGATCAGCTTGTCGGCGTCCCACAAGTCTAGCGACCCGTTCTCCAAAGCTCCAGCTATTACTCCCCGTGTGTTGTCCTCGGATGGGGTCCACGCTATGTCATTGAAACTATATAGGTGGTCGTTAGTACATCACACTTTGCATCGTGAAATTGAGGACCAAGTGATAAGTACCCGGAGTCGGTGTCAAGCTTCGCAATCGGCTGCAACTCTTCGCCGGCATTCTGACGTTCCAGGCCCAGGTCCCACAGCTCGAGACATGTTTCATTGGAGAAGTCAACGTCGACTGCGCCGGCCCGAGTACCGGTAGCAATCAATGGCGATGCTGCACCGGGAGACCAGGCAAATGTGGCCGTCCGGGGAATCTCCCTCAGACGAACCATGGTGAAATGAAAGGAGCGGAAGTAACGAGAGGTACTATAGATTAGGAGATAACCAGGCTATCGAACGGTCTGGCAGCAACTATCATAAAAGGGGAATCGACGGATTATTAGAACTAAAAGACGTAAAAAGATGTTTCCACACGTAACCTCCCCTCCCTAACGAGACCAGAGGGGTGTATGAAAGTTGCCAAGTAGCAGCGGGTTGCGATCGAAACGTCAACTGCACAGTTCCCAATCAACCAAGTGTCCTCCTGGAGGGACCGGGGCGATTGGCGCCTAACCTGTTCGGGCGCTCGCCAAAACACCCGCGGAGGCACGTGATATCAGTTTGCTCGGTCCAGAAAGTCTAGGCAAGGTATCATCCGCCGTGGAGAGCTGCGAAAGAGCGTGATATTTGTGACTGGGGCAGAGCCCTCTTACCATTAGCTACAACTCTATGGTGCGATAAGCTCTCCGGCTGCAACACTACCGAGCTTCCGACCACATACACCATGAGTGAAGCGGCGCGCTTGAAATGTACCGTCTATGTGGGGGGTCTCGACCAGGCGGTTACTGTGCAGACGTTGGCCGAGGCATTCGTTCCCTTCGGCGAAGTTGTTGATATCACGCTCCCGAAGCCCGACGTTCCCAATTCAAATGAGCTCCATCGCGGGTTTGGATATGTGGAATTTGATGTACCTGAAGATGCCAAAGAAGCGATCGACAATATGGATGGAAGCGAGCTCTACGGACGTACGATCAAGGTTGCTGCCGCAAAGCCGCAGAAGGACAGCAATGAAGGTCTAGGAAGCAAGACAGCTATCTGGGAACAGGTTTGCAGGGTGATTCAACTTCATTACGGGCAGGTTTCTAATTATGCATGTGCAGGAGGGCTACTTGGCCAAATACGCAGTCGACGAGGAGGATAAGTTGGCGGCAGAGCAGGCTCAAACAGCAACCAATGATCGTTCTCACGACCCTATGCAAGGATTGGAAGAGCTGGACGTCGCTGGTCCGAAGCCCGAATAAGCTCTAAAGACTCGAATGTCATGAGACAGGAAGCCGTGCGACAGTAATATTGCAATATTACTCCATCAGAACCCTCGTTCAAGCCGTACTATATACACGCGCTCCAACCGAGTTTTTTAAAAGTTTCAAATTCTCCCGCGACATCAACTTTCCCGTGAATAATACAGACCGCCGACAAAAATCACACCAAGGATCGCCATCGCAATTCAAATTTGGTAATACACTTTAGTGCTCACGGCTCTCAGGGCTGTTGCGGCTAAGACGGAGAGTCTTGTCGGTCATGAGCTTCTTGCCGCTGGAGTAGATAGCAGCTCCAACAGCGATGCTAGAAGAAATTGCGTCAGCATAAGCGCAGGTTTAGTCTGGGGAGGTAGTAGTTGGGGGGATTGATCATGTAGTATAGAGTTCAAGGAATCTTAAAACAGTAAACATACCCAAGGACGATACCTAATGACAGAACGGTTAGACACATCGTTTTCCATAGAGAAAGCCTCAAATCAATGACATACCGAGAGGAATCAACTCCGGGGGGACCCTCTTAAGGGTGCGCAGACGCTGGGAGATAGTGTGAGCTGTAGCTGTCAGTTAGTCCAATTCTATCCCTAGGCAATCCTCCTGCAATCGAGACTCAATTGCAGGTCGTTAGGGTTCCCATACCGCTCTGGGCCTCCTTCTATAGCGATCGTTAGCACACAGGACTCGAAGCCGTTTTTTCCCGGGGCGAAGAACACCAAAAAGGACTTACAGGAGTAGGGAAAGCAAAAGGCCGAGAGGCCTGCATCCGCATGACACGAGTGGGGAACATGGTGAGGGTGGACGTTGAGGTGGGAGCAGAGATGGTGGTGGGATGAAGATCAGATGTGGTGACGGAAGCTCACGACGTTTGAAGGGAGGTTTGAGTAGTACTGCCTTAGGCTGGATTCGGGTGTTTAGGAAATCTTGCCGCATGAGTGGCTCGCTAGACCGCCCGCGGTCACTCCCGGATTCACTGCTTCACGGGATCATTCCACCACTCCACTGGCGCAAACCTCACCCCATCTTCCTTCTCCAACTCCCCTCTCACCCACGCCCAACCCACCCCATATACCTCTTTTAAATTTACTCTAGAGACCTTTCTGTCTCCTCACAGTCAAAATGGGTGCTATTCCTGAGGCCGATCCCGATGAGCCTATGGAGACCAAGCCCTTCAAGTTCGTCACAGGTGAGCTCAATCGCAGCCAATCTTAAGGCTTAGAGCCTCAAATCGGAGTCAATTGCTAACTTAAGTGCAGCTGGTACGTGATAATTAGGTCTATTACCGATTGGATCGCTCGCAATGCCGCCGCAGTCGAGGTTTTCATATCGGGTGGAGTCCATACGTGGTGCTGACAACTTCTGATGTAACAGGCTATGATGCTCGCTTCCCCCAGATGAACCAGTACGTAAACCTTAATGATATACGCCTCAATTCCTTTCATGCAATTGCTAATTCCCATCTTCACTCCAGGACCAAGCACTGCTGGCAAAACTACGTCGACTACCACAAGTGTGTTACCGCCAAGGGCGAGGATTTCCGTCCATGCCGTCAGGTATGTCACTTTTCTCCGTATCCCCGACATGGGGCCGAAAGAAAACCAATCTTGCACGTAACGATAGACGGGCTAACCACTGATACAGTTCTACCACGCTTTCCGCTCTCTGTGCCCCAAGGCGTGGACTGACCGCTGGGACACCCAACGCGGTATGTAAATTTCTTTCCCTAATGGTCCAAACTGCCCCGTCAGCGACTAATCTCACTCCAACAGAGGCTGGAAACTTCCCCGTCCGCCTGGACCACTAGACGAGTAACAAGTCATTGTTGATTGATTTTCAAGCATTTTTTGTGTCAACATGTACTCTACCTGATCAAAGCGGGAATACAAATCCGTCCCTTGGACCGGCTCGGGAGAAAGATACATATAGATTCGCCGTAGCTGAAAATCCATTGTGCTCCTATTCTGGTCTGTCTTTTGTCCTTTGCATATGTAGAAGAATGCACAATTCGCCCTATGGGACCAGCAATTAGCGCCGCTCATTTCAACCAATGCCAGGAGAGATATCGGTAAGCGGAATATGCAAGAACGATTGAGTTAATAGCCCCGATTGTCAACCCAGTAGAGTCTATTCTTCTATCTAATATCCAAAGCAACAAATCATTCTATCTATTTCAACTTAGAATATAGCCAACATATTAGCCAACAAAAACCAGTGCTGCAACCGCGAAGTCACTTCCGATACTGAGACAGTCTATGATAGATAAGCAATTGCTGAAGCAAAGGACCGATACCCGGTATATTTCAACCAGGATCTCCCAATGCAAGGGTATCTCGGTGCAGCCAATGGACAGCACACGCAGAAATCGAGGGGCCAAAGGGGCCAGCCAAATCACACAGAGGTGAGAAAAACAAAAGAAGCGCACACAGAAATGGTATGTACACCAGATAAATCGAACTTTTTTGCCCACCCAATGCTTTCGCCAAAGAAACATGTACAGAAAAAATAGAGAAGGAAAAAAAGTATTTTATCGCAAGATCGAGCAAATCAGAAATATGTAAAAAGATATTAAAGCAACAAAAGGTCTATCTATGCTGTGTGCTTCTCTTCGGAGACACCCTTCAGCAGACGATAGAGCTTCTTATGCTCTTCCAGGAAGATGAATGTAGCGATGGTATGGGGACCCAGGCGGATAAAGCTGGGAACCCAGCCGCGGAAGGCCCAGGCGAAGCCTTCCTTGCGGGTGATATCTCGTAGGAGACCCACGATGCCGTGGCCGTGGCTCTCAGCCGGGGAAGCACTCATCACACGGGTCTTGATCACGTCCACGGGGCTGCAGACGGTTGTCGCGACGAAACCAGCCAAAAAGGACGCGGTGAAATGAGTGCCCAGGTTATCGGACATGCCGAACCTGTCGATGCAGAGACGCTTAAAGGTATCGTACGAGGCCAATTGCGAGGCGGTCATCAGCACGGCACGAGTCGAATTGGGCCAAACGCCACGGAACAGACTTGCGGGACCTTCGTGGCGGGTCATCTGGACCAGTCCGTGGAAGGCATGTCTATAGTTACGGCGTTGCTCTACGGGGAGAGCTGCGTCGGACTGCATGCGCACGTTCATAACGTCGGCCGGGTTTCCTGCGATACCACCAAGAAAGCCGGATGTACAGGCCATCCCGACCAGGGTGAGGGTGCTGGCGGGTGCATCGGGCGATGTAAAGCGCGATTTCAGCTCTTCATATATACCGAAGCGAGTGGTGGAATACGTCAGCTGTCGCAAGAGCGCGGCCGAAAGCTACATGGTTGTTGCACTGTGAGCAAGAGGGTTCTCTCTCTCTCTCTTTTCCTCCCGTTTCCCCTGGGACCCACACGGATTGAACGTACCCCTCTATATAAACCCAAAATTCCATCGGTCTTAATCACATGGCCAAAAGTGCCCAACATGGTGGTTGGCGCTCCGGGCCCACGTGTTTGCAAGCGAACCTATTTTTTTCCACACGCCATCGATTAGCGTCACCGTGACGCGAGAGAAAAAGGACATGGGCAGAAAACGCATAACACAGCCGATAAGGTCTAGGAATAATTTACCTTCACTATAGAACTAGTGTTAGCTAGGTTTGGCTCTAAAAACCATATTTCAATAGAGAAAATAGCCATATATTGAGGGCTTACCAAGATCCAAAGGGTGCGTCACAGCGGCCGCAAAGCATGATGCAGAGCCACCAAACCAGAACGGATAATGCACCTTTTTCACGGGAACAGCAGCCCGGGGAGGCTGCGACACCTCCAGCTTTGCGCTGCTTGCCATCCTGGTGGACAAGATGTGAACAATCCAGCGAGGGGAAGGGGAGCGGAGTGTGTAAGCGATTTCGAAAAGTAGGAGACTAGTTTGTACAAGGACCTAAATGTCTTAGACTGGAAATTCTAAAATGCGTCGGAGGCTTGATCTATCTCCGAACCCGCAGCGGTCTTCGGCAGCATAACCGGTACTGGAGACATTCAGCCAATCATATACTCGGTTTTGGTCGGGCAAACGGTAACCCTCGGTAATACAGTGGAAGGGGCAGGGATATCCGCGGGCTCATTCTTCGCGAAGAAGGCGTCTTGGAACGTTTGTCTTCATCAACATATGGTCGGTTCTTGAATTACTGCCGAAGAGTTTCATTCCAAGGCTTTATGTAGGATGACATCACTTCTCCTGCATTAGTTGACGACTGTGTATAGTGTCTGCTAAGTAGCACGGTAAACGCGATCGCAAGGATGTATTTTAGATCACATTGCCAGCCAGAAGCAGGTTAGTTAGGCCATGTGGTGTCCTGGAGACTATGTGGAGTCAAAGAAGCATCTCGAATACTTCGAATAAGTCTAAATTAAGCTCTGTTTTGACAACAAAGTCTCATCGTCATCAAGCCCACCCGGCAACATAGGTACCGGTAGAGGTACTTGACTATTTCTAGCTTCAAGCACTATGGCTGCGATTTGAATTGTTTCATTCATTTTGAGTTTCTATAGTGTAATTTAGTATGACATGCTCATAAAAGCCCTTGAGGATACAAAGCCAATATAACATTCAACAACTCGACGCAAAGCTGCTATCGACTCGTATAAGCAAGGTAAAATCCCATTCGCGCCGCTGTTCCCTAACCTAAAACTCCGTCCACATGCTTTGAAGTAGCAATTATTGAATATGAAGGTGTGCTTTTCCTGTCAATTCTTGTTTTCCCAGTTTTCACTTTTGTGCCCCTACCATCAATGGCTTGGGTACATGTTAATATCTCGAAGAGAAATTAATTAAAACCATACCCACCACCTCCATATGGAGTTGCACCGTATGGGGTTGCTGCGCTTGCTCCCCAAGCACTTGCACCGCCATTAGCGTAAGCAGTGAAGCCTCCATCAATGCCCTCTGGTGGCTCATATGCATCTGGACTGCGTACACCCATCATATCTTCATCCTCCCCACCCATAACACCATTGTGGTCGCCGTCACCAGTGCCAGACAGTGCCGAAATAACAGATGCAAGCTTACGTTGTAAGACGGTGATCCCTTGCTGGATGATCATATCCGGTTCAAGAACGCCGACGCTCTCGACATCGATATAGAAATTGGTGGGTTGCGCATCATAATCAAAGGGTTGGTCCGGGGGGGCGGCGTGTTCCCATGCAGCATTGTGAGAGACGGGCCTACTTCTGTCAGTACCGTAAAAGCTCTTCTCCCAGAGATTTTGTGTGAATAAAAGGGCGATGCGACCTACCATTCTTTAATAGGATCTTCTTCGTACCAATAATCCACATGTTTGAGGTTATTGTGCGGATCATATTCAAAACCAACTGCTGCGGTGGGCATCCACTTGGCGTGTTCTTTGGCAATGCCCTTCTTGGCGATACATGTCATTTTAAGCTCTTGCCCACGTCGCAATTTACAGATCAGGGGCCCATTGCCTTCTGGATCAGTGATAACCGGGTTCCCGACCCATTCATTCGCCCGCTCGCCACTGACCACCAAATCCCGCGCATACACGCGCATAATGTCATCGCCGGTGCAGCGCGCATGTAAAGTGAGCGTCACGCTACACCGCGCGCAGTGGTCCTCACACTCGCAGTCGCGAGTGTACTCAACGTCCTGGTCACAGTTCTTGGAATTCAGAGGGATGAGACCCAGTCGGTGGGCAAGAAACTCGTCCGGAAGCACGGACGTGTTCTTCTCGACTTCAACTAGATCGATAGCAATAGTGGGGACTTCAGCAAGCATGGTTCGGCGGAGAGAGTTGGCGAAGGCGAGATCAACGGAGCTGAGTTTGAAATCGACTCGGTAGGGTTCGGCCTACAGTTCTGTTAACACTTGAGGGCTCGTGGTAGCGCTTCTCTTCATAAGTTAACTTGGTGTCCGAGATTTTTTAACCATACCTCTCGCACTGTGACCTGGGGCCCTGTAGGCTCGATGTCCATTTCATAGTCCATGTTGGCGACGAAGTAGCGGTGCGGACTGCCAACTTCGAATCGGAAACGGTGGCTTTTAATGATTTTTTTAATACACGATTTAAGCTTGCAATGAAAGTGGTTATAACAAATAACGTCTTGGCCGGTCAAAGATAAAAGGAAAGCGATAGGGAGCTGGGTTTGAAGAAGAACGTGAAGTCGCGAGCGTTGAGTTCGGCTCCAAACTGAAGTTCCGCGCTTTCCCTGTTTGGGTATCTACAGATTTACTTAGTATTGACGACCTCATTCACACTTTAAATTATTGGTAAAACACATGACGCAGATAACCAATCATGCTAACAAAATTATATTATCCAGTATCTATGTCTATTACTTCGCCTGATAGATATCTATGTGCTAGCTGATACGAATGAGATTACTCATATGTCTACGTGGTCCATAAGAATATTTTTGCTGGTTAATCTCACAATCATGAGTCGCTTGGAGAATAGTCTTTTTTTGTGGGGTTTTCTTCTCTTCTTGACTCCTATTTCTGCATGAGTAAAAAGCCAGACCATCAACAAAGGCACAAGCAGACCCATGTCACCAGTAGGCCAGTAGCCCTAACCGCATAGGCGGCGTCGCAAAGAGCTGCAAGTAGATGGCTAAACCATGTCAGAGTCAAAAGCAAATTTTGGTATCCAGATGACCAAATATCCTCTCCACAAGTAGGATTCGATAGAATGATGATGTTCAAGCGACATCAGTTACAACTTTTCGTCCGTCCACACCAGCGCTGTCCATTGCGCTTCTAACTCTCTATTCGACGGATCGTCATGATATCTATAGTGGTGAGTGTGTGAATCCGATGCCATGCGCATACCCTCCCAAGTCGCCAAGTGGGTATGTCAAGCAAGGCATGTAATGACAACTCGAACTCCAGAATAGCACCGCCAACCATTACAAAAAGGGGTGTTCAGACAAGAGAAGGCAAGCAAGAAGGTAAACCGATGTAGAAAGATCTTTGTCAGGTAGAAAGGAAAGAATCACGTCAAGTCGTAATGGGAAGACCAGGAGATCGGGGGTGATCTTCCACAGGCTCCTTGCCTATCAGGCAAGGGAAGGCAGTCGCTACCGTTTCATAGAGCTGCGATTCAATGCCTCCAAGAGCTCAGGGCGGCTCGCAAGAGCAGCCGCGGCTTGCGCATATGAGACCCATTGACGCTTGCGTTTATGCATTTCTGGCCATTGCGCTTCCTCACGGTCAACGGTGACCTCGAAGAATTGGTAAGATGCCTTGGGTGCATGCGACGTCAGTAGAGTAGAGGGGCGCATGTCAGGGATCATCCCCAAATCTCTAAGTACTGTGCAGATTATGCCACCCTCTTCCCAGGCCTCTCTGCAAGCGGCTTGTTGGGCAGTTTCTTCATCGGTTTCCCATCCACCTTTGGGAAGCACCCAGCCACCTCGTCCCGCAGATTGAATCATAAGCACTTGTGATTTATCGGTCGATAAGGGAACTACGCCGGCCACAAGACGTTCGCCTTTCGATCCGTATCCTATCGTTGATATATAGGTTAGCAATGGTATGCGCGACATAGGCGGCGAAAGCAGAGAGGGAATAGAAAAATGATGCGCGTATTTCGAACAGGGAATGGAGAGGGGCACAATTGGGCCCATGTGCATCCAGGGACAAGCACTCACGTTGGTTTTTCCGTCCTGTGCGGGACTCCATTGACCGAGTTTGATCCACCATCTTGAATCAAGAAACGGAGAAAATAGGTCAAACAATAAGAACCCTCTACGCCACCTGGGCCAGATAGGCTATAGATAGAGGGATTGGATGAATCGGTGATGGGCAGCGCAAGCTGCAGTCCACGCGACAAGGAACCAAAAGAGTGTAGGGTTTGCGGAAAGTCAAAGAGAAAGTCGTCAATGATACAATAACGAGGCGAAGTATATGGGGCTAGAAGTCCGGAGATGAACTTTTTTAAACTTCAAACGACGGATATTCTGAGCCAAAAAAAAGAACCAGAACTGGTGAAAGAGAGCTGGTTCAGGACCCGTCGACCCTAATTTTTTTTCTACCCCCGGAACTTGGAAAGCGAGGCGGTCGAGAAAAAAAAGTAGGGTAATTTTTTTGGAGGGGAAGGATTGGAAAAAAAGCTTCAGGAACTAGGTATCCCCGTTCACTCCCGCAGCGGACGGGAACCTCGAAGGAGATGTGAGGGTACAAGAAGACATGGTAATCAGAAGGGCAGCATAGAAATAAGAGAAAAAGGATAGAGGGACAGGAAATGGGAGGAACGGAGGGGGAGGCGAGAGAACGGGGAATCAGAGACAGCTTAGGTTGGGAGTATAATGGGCGGCGCGGTCCGGCAGGACGAGTCGCTCTCTCTCGCCCGGAGCGGACTTTGCTGGGCGGTACTTACGGGTACGTACGGTACCCTGATTCGGCCTCTATGGGTAACGGATTGGTCCGCATTTGTGTGTGCGGTGGGCATGCGTGGTATTACCGAGACAATACTGGCCTCCGGTATGCCTCCCCTTAATCCCGTCTCCAGTTATCTTGAATGTATTATAATAATTTATTTGAGTCTTATTTCTGGAAATTCTACCCCCCAGTCTTTTCTTTTATTACTATTTAATGCTCTTTTGTTTTGTTTTAATTTAGTAAACTTCTAGTCATCACTCCTTTTTTCTTTTCTTTTTTTTTTAAAAAAAAATCTCTCTTACATGGTTCTACTCCTTTTTTCACCAACCCTTTTCCCCAGTCAACTGTATTGTATGGTTGTATGGAATGTAGCGAACGTGTGGAGTTGACCGACTGATTGTACCCAAGGATCTTTGAAGAGACAAACCGACAGGTGAGGTAAGTATGTTTCCATTTCCATAGTAATGGAGGTACTGATTCCTGAGTCTTCCGATGCATTGCGGACCTCGTCGGTTCCACAGTAACCTCTTGGTCACCCAAGGAACCACACAAATGGGAAAGCGAACTCGGGAGTACCGCAGCGCTGGTGAAATGATCACTCACACACGCCCGGTATGCTACTCAGACCCTGTCAGGAACTCGGCTCTTTCCAGTGCCTGTTGTTACAAACAGGCTTCTAGGTATGCATGCACATGCAATACGAAAAGCGCCACATAAAAGCTCCCTCAGATCCGGTACAGGTGGATAAAAAAAGGTCCTTCATCATATAGAGAGGGACTGGATTAAGTTCTGTCCGTCTCCATCGGACTTAACCCTTTGTCTAACGAAGTAAACGACGATGGCCGCCACAAGCGCGCCGCATTCGTTGCTCAGATTTTCTCGGGAGTAAGTAGTATACTACGCATGGACTTAGGTTAATACCTAGATAGTAAAAGTAATGGTCGAAACTGGAGGCAGGATGGAACTATATGTTTCTTAAAATTAACCTTTTATGGCTTGCTCTCTTCTAGCCACAGAAGAAAAGGGAATAAGGGGAAAAAAAAGCACATTCAACCTCGCATTTTGGTACCAACGATTATCTGGCCACTAGTCACTGCAAACAAGAATAACTAATCACCATGAGTCCTCCCAGAATTAGGATCGATCCACATGGTTAACCAACTTTGGACAGCGAATGGGTACACTTATGTGATAATTGGGACAAATAGTTGTACTAATCAAAGTAATAGATTTCCTTGTGGAACGAGGTCATAGAATAACCAGCAACAGGCCGAGTTCCCACGATCTCCTCGGGACCTCGTTGCACGGACGCGTCCTTTGCAACCTGTGTCCATGGTTCAAGATTACCCTCTTCTTCTTGGGTAGCAGAGTGCATCGCCTTTTTGTGGATGCTAGTATATCTCCACATTGCATGCAGCAGGCGTGAGGAGCAAGCTATCGTACCTATATACTCTGTACTTTTTTTTCCCATACGTGCCTGTAGCGAAGTGCATCAGCGTGTCAATTTTTCTAGATTCTTGAGAAGCGTACGTAGGTATTATTGTGGCCATCTCCTTTTTTGTTTATTCAAATCTAATTTCTTCCTTTTCATGTGGTGGTTACTGGGCACTCCCATCCCTTTTGTCATCCAGACAAGCCTTGGGATTATTGGGTACCGTCCAGTATGCCTGCATACATTATTAGTCTTCAAAACTAGCATCACAGAATGACTGATCCAACTAAATGCGGGGCTCCAACAACGATTATTCAGTCCTTGCCGCGCTCTCTTTTTACTTTATGTTAGAAGGCACGAAACAGGAAAAAGAGAACGGGAAAAAAAATCTATCTTTCAGACGTTAAAGTTAACCCAGATCAGAGCTCGCCTCGCCCCATTAAATCTATTAATGGCGATGATGTAGGTGTATGTCCTTATGTCCTATGTGAACCTATAGGGGATTTGTCGATCATAGCCGGGGGGTAAGGAGGGGGAGGGTTACTTAAGATAGTCGCGGGCTAAAACTACGAAGGATTTCGGACTACCAAAGAAGGTATGCCTATCGTATTCAAGGGCGACTCGGTCAGATTGGGAAGGATGATGGTGGCGAAGTAATAGTGAAGTGACAACACAGCAATTAGCTATTGAGTTAGTGCGGATCTTTTGTGTCGATACTTGACGTTGGAGATACTTCGACATGTGATGTCATGGTCACTACTGAAATTGTAAATTGGATTGAATGAAATCACTTGAAACCGAATGATGGATCAGCTGAGACAAGGTTCAATGGATTGTCGCAGCGCAACATTCCAACGGCCATCGATAATAAGGATTGACCGTTGGGACACTTGGCCAACTTCCCATTTCAGAGTCAGGGACACCCAATGACATGATCCCTATCGTATTGTATGTATCGTACCGGGAAGTTTCATTACCAACCTCTCTCACTGTATGTACTGTACCTAGTAGTATATCCTGGATAATGTACATACATACATCCATCCATCCTTAGGTAGGTAGTATCAGGTCATAGCGATCTGTACCTGGTTGAAAATGGCAAATCAAGTCAGCTAGTCTATGACTAACAATGGCAATTCCAGATTGGTGGTGCCACTCAGGCTAGGGGGTTTGCATATACCTAGGTAGTAGTCACGCTGCTGTAAGATCTCCAGGATCTTTTCGCGTTTTATAGGCTCTGGTACTGTACAAACATACTGTACGTCCCCTACTAGGTACCGTATAGTACTCCTTAGGTAGTTCAATGTAAGTACGATGCGGGCTTTGATAGATCAAGAGAAATAAATGTATATTACATTGATATTGACACGAGTACAGCATGATCAAATAAAACGGGCCCCTTCAAGGCTACCCAACACAAAGTTTCCTAGCGAACAAGGATGATGTAAAATGCATTGAGGCAACATGAGCTTTGCACGCTTGGATCCTCTTCTAGAAGCATCACGAACATCATTTGCAGTGCTTGGCAGCTGCTCCCGGTGATCTACTGCAATTTTTGCACATAATGATTCTGCTTATTCTGTATACATCATTTTTCTGAGCCATCCCAAACCTTGAACTCAGCAGGAACATCTATGACAGGGGAGAGACGGCGTGTTTGTTTCCCTTGATGCTGGTTGAAGTGGTATTACCGTACGTGTGTTCTTTTTGTATCCAAAGAAAGGCATACAAACTGATAAACTGATAATCCAACTTCTTTAACCGCAAGCTTAAACCATACCTTTGTTTTTCTTCAACGCTGAACTCCATTTGCAGATAGATTTAAACCTCGTCTGATTCGGTTTTAACTTCCCTTGGTTTTCCTCAAAAAGACAAGAAGCTTTTTCTTTCTGATTTTCCCACCCCTCGTTTTTTTTAGCCTTGGGTTTCCGCCTTGAGCGCCGACGATAATAACCGCACTACATCCACCACTGCTAATTGAAACTATGGGATCCATCATCGACGCCGAACAAGCCAGGAAATTGTCGCTTTTCCGACCTCTTGGTAAGCAGCCAGTCAGATGATATTCCCTTTCCCCGTGCAATCATTATTGGCCCTCGTCCACCCTTCTTGAACCCGGAGCCCAAACCGATACTCTGTGCCCCTCAACGACACTTTTACTGCCCCTCTTCCGCGGCGATGGTTTCTTGGCCATCGCCCGTACGGCCCATCGTGATCCTTTGATTCATGTCCCTCATTAGTGCCCTTCCGTACAACTAATGCATGCCTGTACTCCCTTTTCTTTTATCGCCGCGGTCGTTGGATCGATCGGTGACTGTCCGCCATGACTAACGGACATGGGAACCCCACAATCCAATGCTGATCTCAACATACAGGTTACCAGCGCAACTCATGTGGCTACTGTAAATCCGACAATGGAAGTGAGTCTCTCTGGCACATGTCCCCTCCCTCCCTTTCACAATGGATGGTCCTTCAGCCATCCAGTACATCTAAGGCCCTTCTAATATGTATCCACTGCAGGCGCCTCGTACTATACTAGCTCTGTATCAGTACGCCCCGTCCATTATGAGGAACTCGTCAACCGTGGGTGGAGACGGTATGTATCTATCACTCGCTTGATGGGACGGTACGTGGCATCCGGTCGCTAATTCTTACACCAGATCAGGGACGCTTTACTACAAGCAGAATCTGCAGAGATCATGTTGTCCGCACTATACGATGAGGTATGTACAAGGCAACCAAGAGTAACCTACATCGGCTGCGGTCCACTAATCTATTGATTAGGCTTGAGGCAACAGCCTTCAAGTCGAGGAAGGACCAACGCAAAGCAATCAATCGCTGGAATAAGTTCGTCTTGGGACCGGAATACATCCGAAGGGCAGCTTACCTGTGCCCTAAAACCCGGGAGTAAGTCCAGCGACTATGATGCGAACGTGAGGCTGGGGCTAACCTCGAATGTTTTCAGAGAAAAGAGGCACCGAAAATGTAATTTCGACCTGCTCACCGCCGTTCACGAAGCTGAATACAGCAATGTGAAGAAGCCCATTGATCCCAAGACCAAGAAATACTTAGAGCCTGCTCATCGATTTGAGGTCAACATAGAAGGGGACTCTGTATCTCAGGCAAAGTAAGTGTAGCCCAATTCCTGACCATATTGCTCTTGTTAATTACCCAAGATACGAGCTTTTCCTCAAATACCAGACCAAAGTCCACAAGGAAGACGTCTCCACGTGGCAGCAGAAGGACTTCAAACGGTTCCTCTGTTCGGGCCTGAAGCGCTCCCCAGCTGATCCCAAGTCTACTGAGAAGAAACTAGGGTCATGGCACCAGTGCTACCGCCTGGATGGGAAGCTCATAGCCGTTGCGGTCTTGGACTTGATGCCGAGTGGTGTGAGCTCTGTATACATCTTGTGAGTTTTGCTTACTCTAGAATCATTCGGGCAACGACTGACAGCCGAAGTTATGATCCCGACTACGAACAATGGGAGTTCGGAAAACTCAGCGCCCTAAGGGAGATTGCCCTCTCTATTGAAGATAGTTACCAGTATTACTACATGGGTAAGATATTACCAGTACCTATCTACGAGCTATGGAACAGATGATCGCTGACAACCCTTATACAGGCTATTATATCCACTCATGCCAGAAAATGCGGTACAAGGGATCTTTCAGGCCGCAGTATATCCTCGGTAAGCACACCATCAGTTTTAACCAACAAAATGACATACTGACATATACAGACCCCGAAAGTCACACATGGGATCCCCTTGACGGCGAACTGGCAAAGAAGCTAGACAAACGTCCTTATGTATCACTCTCACGTGACCGCTGTCGTCCCGCTGAAAGCACATCAGATTCCACCGGGGCAGAGGCCGACGCCGAAATCAACGATGATGAAATGTCGCTCTTCGACCTGTGCATGCCCGGTGTCCTGTCTCTGAAAGAAGTAGAGGCTTTGGATCTGGACCACTGGTTGCTCCTCGTCCATGGTAGTTTTGTGCACATGATTGTAAGTACATTTCTCAGTGAGTGGTTATTCTCTGTTGGCTTCATATTGACATCTACTGCCACAGGATCTCGTTGGGTGGGAGACGATGCCTATGGATAATCCCCAATCTGTTAAAGGGATCATTGCTGAGCTTGCCGCGGTGTTGGGTCCCGAAATCGTCAAGCAGAGTGCCGTCGTACTATTCGACTAATAGCGCCTTTAGATATATTACTTTACCTATGCATACAGAAGAGATCCCATGAGAAAGATGTGTGCAAGAAAATAAGTAATTCAACCTATATATGGCATAAACGTATTTGTAGATTATTGCAGTAGAAGTAAACCAACTCCGTATATGTCATGATCACAATATCCTCCAAGACGCCCCGCCAATGATTCAATAAAGCACAATAGACAAACCATCAATGTATCCCAGATAACAACATAGAAACCCATGCAAGTATACAAGGATGGTAAAACAAGCCAAATGCACACGCTAAAGCACATCCCAAACGTATCCACAAATTGCTAAAACGACCACGTATCAGATCCCATGCATTCAACACATCAATTCAACAGGAGGCCGAGACGTCTTCGGTGGGGCCTTCCGAATCGGCATCTCAATGGGACTCATATCCATTTCCAAATCATCCACCATGATGCTTGTATCTTCGACCATAACAGCAGGCAGATTAGGGCTTCCGCCATGGTCCTCAGGGTGGTAGATAAGGGTGCTGCTCCTGCTGCGCTGTCCGGACATAGAGACGGGCCAGCTCCCCGTGCGCTTATCGGAGGTCATGGACATCGGGGTACCGGGTTCACAGGTCTGGTTGATAGCCTCGGAGACACTATATTGCTCGGTCTTCAACTTGGCCAAGGCGCTGGCGAGATCGCTGGCGTGCACCTCCTTGTTTGGGGGTTCCTCGTTGCGCATAACCCATCCATGCGGGGGGCTGGGTGGTGGGCTGATGAAGAAGAGCTTGTCGGCATGGGGGGCCTCGAGGAGCTTTGGGCGGCGGGATTCCTCTTCATCCAGGATTGGGGTAGGTTCGCCGAAGTAGACCTTCGGGCGGACGTTGTGCTCAAGGAGTTGGCCGTCGAGGAGTTTCCGGACCCCGAGAGCGTCTTCTTCAGTGTAGAAGGAACAGATGAGGCGGCGGAGAGAGGGCAGCGGCGAGAATGAGTTCAGGGGTGCGATGGATTCGAGTTGTGCGCGGAGAGTGGCGAGGGAGGCGGGCTGGAAGAGGAGTATATTGCTGAGTTCGGTTATGATGAGGGTGTTGGTTGGCTTGGCTGGTTGAGACATTGTTGGAAGATTAGAGAGATCGAGTGTAAGGGCTGGTCGTGATGCTGAAGATGACCGAGAGGCCCTGTTGACGCTGAAGGAGGGAGGGGCGGAGATTGACCCCGGAGAAGTGGTGAGTCCAGACATTATGTGTTTTGATGTTTGAATTGAGAATGAGATTTACGAGAGATCGAGTGTGTCTTTGAAGTAGAGAGGAAGGAAAGAGGTGTGAAAGGGAGAGTTGACGGTGGCGGGGGACAAATCAATGATTATTGATAAGTCACGAGATAAGGCAAGACCGCTTTCAACTCGGGGGACTTTCAACAAGGACAATCAGGAGCCGTTCTTTGATGTATGATCACCTCGGCGTTTTTCTGTTTTCAATGTGGTTCTGCTGGATTCTATTCAATGTCAAGGACGATTCCGTTCCCAACTTATATACCGGAAAGGCCCAATAGCAGCATTCCGAAATGCAGTTTTGCTGCGCCTCCCTGAGACGCACGGTCGGGATCCCACCAACACTGCCCCAAGACCAGAAGCAGTAGCGATTACGACTTATCCGCTGGCTCGGTTCCTGACGATCCATCCGTTTTTGCTCGAAAAAATTGTTTTTTTCCCTCTGCCTGTTTTTGAATCCTTGCCACGGGTCCGCTGTGGCTGGAGAGACAAATTAATGATACTCTTTGCCACAAGCACTGCCGAATTCAGACCGTCGCCATCACTCCGAGAATATGCTTTATGCTTTTGATGAATTACAATCATAATTCCTTCCCGGTGATGAGGATGATCCGTTACTAATGGCTCCGAATTCACCGCCTGATCCTGTCATCAGCAACAATTGTTGGCTTGATGGACTAGTCAACCTTCTCCTGTATGTCCAAAGTATGACAAGGCACTATAGTGTTATTGGACACATACAAGCCCCCCATAATCCTTCCAACAATTGGAACTCGGGACAAAGTTCTGTCTACCCGTGCCAGTGTCATTCCGTGGATCGGTCCCGGAAAAGGGGGGACACTCCGCAGATTCTTGGTCTCCATCGCAGCTCCGCCCCCCGGTGGAGGCCCGGATTGCCTCATCCTCCGCGATGTGGTCCACGCATGTGCAGTATCGATGATGCAGTCCAGCACGCAACGGACGGTGGGAATTTGCGGGTTTCCACTCTAGGCAGTCGAAATCTAAGTTGGCTGACAGCGTGCACCCATACACTCCGCTCTAAGCCCCGGCGCGGATGATCACTGTGCTGCTCGGATATGAGCAACCGTCTCACCTTGCAGGAGCCATAGCCATATTTTGGCTCCATGCCAAGTTTCAAGCTACTCGATCTCTTGACTCGTAATATCCTCGCTCTCAGTTGCCAGATATCGCTTCGGGTACGCGGTATAGCAGAGCGGCGTCTCCATCAATTGCATGGTCACATCACGAGCCTTCTGAACAAGGCTCAGCGATGCACCTCAATTGATACAGTTGGCCATTTTCTTCTCGTACATGCTATTTCCTGTGAATTTCTCCTCGTTAATTCTTCTGCCTTTCTCTTGCAGAATCCATCTGCCTGGCTGCGGAGCATTGATCTAGCTGCGCTTTGAGGGTTCATGCATAGCCACCCCGGAATCTGTCATGGTATCCATCTCGAGTGATCCACCCGAATCCGGTGCCGCACCAAACCACCTTACCAATTCCCAACATCACCCTATCCAACCTTCCATGTAAGTATAATGTAGCCTAAAAGCAAGACTTTCTTCGACACGAGAGTTACAAGGCGTCAGTTACCAGGACGCCTTGCTTATCCTGAACCTCAGAGCAAAAATCAATTGCCACAAGCCTTGCACAGCGTTCATTCTTTCACCCAACCTTATTCTACAACTTAACGCTATCATTCAACCGGGCGATAGCCTCGAATCTCTTCACCAAGATCCCTCGCGACACCTCAGCCCGACTCTAATAAATCTCAGAAGCATACGGCAGGCCAGGACCAACATGAAGCTACAAACTAATATTCGCCTTCGCAACCTCGCCGCAAAGGCCATATCCTCAACCCAAAAGATATCCACATCAATATAAGTGGGGGCAAACCCTCTGGGCCCGGGTAGGCGCAGCATAGGCCTCGACCTTATCCGAGCCGGCGACACCCTGACCCAAGAGCTTGGTCCAACCAGTGATATTACCATCCATATTCCACAAAACCAGGGGCATCATCCGATTATCCAACACCGGATAGAGAAGAACCTGCTTTCACAGGTGCGGCGGCAGGCCTCGATCTCTTGCCAGTTAACGCCCACACAGCGGCCAAGTGTTCATCTGTCGTAGCGATGCGGCTCATGTCCATAGCGAACTGGTTAGCGTGCTCGTACAACCACTTCAGGCCCGCGTAGCAGACCTCCGATAACGTTGGATGAGGCTTACCCGGTGCTACCTGGCAACGTACTAAGACAAACGCAGGTGTTCTGTGCCTGGGCTCGTGCACGTCGAACTGGAACGTGCCTCCGTCATGCTTGTATAGGATAGTCGACCTCGGCGCCGTAAACGTAGGTTGTTCTCGAGTGTCAAGCGATGGATTGACACATTTGACTGTCATAAGCCATGAACCTGTGAATTTGTAAACTCGTGAGCTCGTGGACAGCTTACTTACATCTAGGGTTCGGGAGCACCTCAAAGGATGCCACATAGTAGGCAGTGTTACTCCATCTAGGCTCATTCTCATGCACCGCTGGCTGCTTAGGGGCAACTGCTATAGCGGTTAGAATACCGGCTGCAGCCATGGTGAAACCCGGGTTGTAATTAAAAGGGCAAGAGGATAATCTATACTTGCATAGAGTATAGATAATCCTGGGAGTTCTTTACTCTTGTGCCTTCGTCCGCTTGAGTACATATTATGATGTACTCTAGTCCATCTACCCACCATAATTTTATGCAAGTTGCGTAGATCCCTTAAAATGTGAATATATTTTCATTTCGACTTTCTTTGATTCATTTAGCTTGCTTGATACGAAAGCAATTACAACAGAGGAAAGTAGGTCACATTCAATTCGAAGTATGGCTGTGCAATGATTTGAGAATACTATACTATGTATATAAGTTCATGCAATAAGCTCCGTACCCCACGAAGACTACTACATAAGAAAAATATATCATAGATAGAAAATCCGATAGCGGCACTCTCGCATCCTTCTCTACTCTCAAGTCTTGGGGATATCTTGTTCATCGAGGTATATAGAACGATCCAAAACCAAAGCAAGTGAACAGAACCGATCTGAAACTCCGAGACGAGGGGAAATCGACAGACCACTTGAAACAGAAATGAGAAACACCATCATACACCATCGTTTCACTTGGTATCATATCTTATGAATGTTTTAACGAAAATTGCTCCCGCCTCCGTGGTTTTCCCCTTACCAAAGCCCACAGTGCTCTTTCTCCCGACCCACACACTGTTTGCAAGATAGGAGAGTAATAACTAAAAAAGCAATGCTGAAAACAAAAAAACCAGAGAACAAAAGCCCGGGAGGACGACGGCTGGGATGGATCTCGTTATCCGCTTCCCCAGCCATCGGTCATGCCCTTTTTTTCCGAATTTTCCCGCCATCTTTAACTGCGTGTTCCGATTGGTATCAAGAAAAAACACAAAACACCGCTGATTGCAAACTTAAAAAAAGAAAGAAAGAAAGAAAAAAGAAAATAATAAAAGAGGTCTTGGGGGTATAGTGCTGCAAATTGACATTGTTTTAACGCGGTGGCCCAATAGGGGCCGGGTATCCAGAAGTAGAATTGGAAGTACTAGGACGACCACTATCAAAAGACGCGCGGGGGTCATGCTTGGGAGTCATGTCCCCCGGCGCGGTACCGAATGGAAATTTTGTGTCAAAGCGCGCTGGCCAGCCATTGCTGCTGCTGTGGCTGTGGGAGCTCCCCAGGACGGGTAGATCATCCTCGGGGAGGTTCACACCCGAGTCATTCCATGGGTTGCGGTAGCCACTATCCCGAGATTCCATGGAAACCAGCGAAGCCTTGGAGGCGTTGCTGGAGGCGTGTTTGAAGAACGAGCCGGGCGAGGCAGAGTGGTTCTTGCGGCCGATGAAAGACGAGAACGACGAGATGCTACCAGGCTTGCGGAGTCGTTCGAAGATCGACCCACGCTCACTAGTCTCGTCGGAAAAGTTGGGCCTGGTGGGAGAGTCCGTAACAAGAGGGACGGGTGCATGTTGCAACAGCTTGGAGTCGAAGAACGGAAGAGATTCTTCAAATGAGTCAGATTTAGGACGCGGAATAGCCCCTTTAACGGTATTCGCATCAAGTCCATGCGCCACTAGACGCGAAATCAAAAAATCGATGGCATCTTTTAGACCGCCGGCATTGTTCCGCGTGTATCCAAGTACAACACGGTCTTCAGGAGGTAAAGTTGGTGAAACCGAACCAGCCGAGGCAGTTTCGGAGGAGGGGAAGTCAGCACTGAGGTCAACCGTAGTATCAACCTCATATTGCTCCTTCAGCTTGGCGCAAACGTCGCTGCGGAACTCGACAGACTTGAAGTACTCGCGAAGTTCGTGAGAGCTTTGGAAAAGGAGTTCATGGCTCTCCGGGACCATTCCAAGCAAAGCATCAACAGCCTGCGGAACCTGGTATTCAGGTCCCGAGATGGTTACCACATCACTTGCAAGTTCGGTGCTGGGGAACTCGATCTTGCAGTTCCACTTCTTTTCGAGCTCATCGATCTCTGTCATACGAGCGAGGAGTTCACGGTGGTAGAGGCGGTTGATCACTACACGCTCAGAGACATATTCTGCGTCGACCTTCTCGACCATATCCATGATCTCCTGCTTGACAAGATCCAAGCTCTGTGCGTTACGGGCTGGCGTGCGGCAGATGACATTGTCAACCTTGATGTCGTCATCCTCCTTGCCCATACCACCGCGATCCATAGCGTTGGAAAACTTGACGAAGACCGAGTACTTCTTCATGATGCGCTGAATATGCTGGCCACCGATGCCAATGATCCGCTTGTGGTATTGATCGGGCACATGGAACGAGATCGAAGCCGGCATTTCCTGCTCAACGAGATCGAGACCGTTCTTCGTAGACTCATACTGATTTCCGCACACATCGATGTAGAAGTTGTACTCGTTGAAGCCATCGAAGATAATTTGCACATTGCCTGTTCTATGTTAGGAATCAAGGCTATAAATGCGAACCGATGCTGTACTCACTCTGACCCATGATCTTATTGATCTTTCCGTTCTTCTTGCCGCTGACAAACTCTTTGTGCTCGTTTGCTAGTTCGATTTTCACACGCATCTGGTATTGACTCCGCTGAACGAATGGGATCTGGTTGACAACCATCATGGCAGCCTTCACGGCGTCGTCGGAGCCGTTGATGGTGAAGGTTAGGTTGTCAAAGCTCACTTCTGCCGCTGAATTGGTGCAGATATCTGAGAGCATGGTGCGAACATCGGCGGGTGAGGGGGCGCGGAAGGTTCCCTGAGAGGGATCCGGCATGATAATCCACCACGAGGCGCTGTAGAATTGACCAGCCTAATCAAGTTAGCCAGAAAGCCATTGCAGCATGAATGTGTTTGAACGTACCAAGGCCATGATCTCCCGCACAGTTCGCTCCACGTGCAGCACTTCGGTGCCTTGGATACGGACAAGACCCCGTTGGCTGCCAAGTTGAGGGAAGAGAACATAAGAGCCATTCATCTCCATCACTTTTCGAACTTTGTCCAAGCGGTCAAGCAAAATGTTGTCAATCTTGTTAGAATTGACAATGACATCCTTGACATAGATCTTGACGCCCATGACAAGTTCTCTCAACTTTTGCTTGGCTCGAGTAATCTGCTCTTGAGTATCACCGGTGATATAGACCTCATCTTCACTGCGACGGTGAGCGCCTGGGGGCGTGTATCCGAAGATGCGAGGAAAGGGAGGTGGGAAGTAGATGGCAGTACCCGTGGCGGCCTCGATGAGCTTGATGTTTTTGCGAGTGCGACCACAGACTAATGTGTGCATGGTCAACTCTAGCTTCATAGCGTCCACGTGACGTTTAAGCTAGCAACCGGTTAGTCGTCATCATTGCATGGTGCCGGTGAAGGGAAAGGGGTATTATAGGGCCATTATTGATTTCCATGTTCGGAGAATTTTCTTTTCTCATGCGTGAATAAGAAAACAGACAACTTACGATCTGATCGATCATGATCAATACCCTCGTCTTGGCATGTTCTGCGCTCTCCATGTCACCGTAAATCGAAACCCGGAAACGTTGGTCCAGCCCATTGTCAGAGGCATAGCCATAGGAAGACACTACCGCGCTATCGTTATCTCGAAGTTTGGGGCTCAACAGGAAGATGTCCGTTCCGGTGTATGCGGATAGGGTATCAAGGTGTTCTAATACGCTCGGTCGGATTCCTTTCGTGGACCCATCCATGATGAGATGCATATCCACATCAACGGTCGCACAGCGCTATTGATTGGATCTCATTAGTAAGTGGATCGAGCATGCAGGCGATAGCCACCAAACTACGAACGAACATACCAACAGGATAGGTGTCTCGTTCAGGATCCTGGCCCGCATTTTGCGCACGGTCTCGCCTTCACCGGTGATACAGACGTTCGTTACCAAGCCTTGAGGTCGCCGTTGTAGGGACGCAACGGACTTGGGCTCCGAACCGAACACGACCGCCTCGATTCTCCCATTACTACTCTCGGTGATTTGGCGGCATAATCTCCGCAAGGCCTCGACATTGCTGGTGTGAACGGGTAAATTGTGGACGGGCGTGCCTTCGAGGGTACCTTCGGGAAAAGTCCAGCGCTGCAGAGCACCAGGGCTCGCATGTAGCACATCATCCACATCGGGACCGCCCAAAGTCGAAGAAAACGGCACGTTAAAGGAAAGGTTGACGGTCGGGTCGATGCCGGTTGGTGGTGTCATGGGTGGTGCGCCATGAGGTCGACGTAGCGAGTGCGATGCCATATCGGTGTGAGGCCTGGACATGCCAAACGTGGGCGTCATTCGCTCCCAGCCATGACGGGCTTGACCCGTAAAGTTGGAAATCTTGTGCATGGCAAGGGCGGCGGGTTCGAATCTCTAACCCCTTGAACGAGTCGAGGGGAAAGAGAGAAACAGCGTCCGAGGAGAATGGCGGAAGGACGGATAGGTGGGAGAGAAGGAGAAAGCAAGAGTTTGAGGAGATGAGAGGGCAAGTGAGCCAGGAGAAGAAGAGAGGCGTCAAGGGTGTGGATCGCCGTTCTCGACAGGGATGAGAAGAGGGCAAAGGAATGATGAGCGCGCGAAGGTGGTGTGGGCGGACAAGAGCGTTTCTGTCTTGGTACCGGAATGGGTTGGGAAAATGATTCGATTCAATTCAACGACCAAACGGGTATCGAGGGTTCGGGGGAAGGAGGGGAACAAATAAAACCAAAGAAAAGGGTAAGGGAAAAAAGGAAGAAGAAAAAAAAAAGGAAACTAAGAAAAAAAGGGAAATTGAACAAGAATCTGGAAAGAGAAGGGGATGTAAAAAGGGAATCGAAAATGAGATAGATCAATCAGAAAGAAAATGAGTAAGTAGGAGGTATGAGTAGAAGAGAAGAAGAAAACCGGACGATCCCAATGGTCAGACTTCGAGCTCCTCCAGCGAAGGGGGTTCTGGGTTGCCAGTGAATAATCAGTGGTGCTAAAAAATTAAGAACATCAAAAAAAAAATAAAAATAAAAAAATAAAATCATATAATGGGAAATAATAATAAAATTAGTCTCTGATCGATGGGTATGAACGAAAGGTTTGGCATTGGCTTGTGTAGAGGAAAGGGTTTAGTGGGGGTTTGAGTCAGCAGATGCTCTCTCCGTATGGTCTGGTTTGTATGTATCTCAGTACAGTCGGTATTGATGAATGAAGTTCTTGTATGGATGGGAACGAGCTGAGAGGAGGGGAAAGGAAAGAGTACAGATATTATGTATGTATGTATCTTAAATCGGAGACTCAAGGAGTTGGTTTGTTTGGTGTGGTAAGTTAAAAAAAAAAAAAGAAAAGAAAAGAAACAAAAAAAAAAGATCACCACCATCAAAACCTCAGGCACAGTGAAAGGAGTTTCGACCGTTCAGCTTCTAGAGAAGAAAAACACAAACAAACAATCCGATTATCATTGATCCATTTTCATCTCATTTTTCCCCCTTTGTCAATACTTGGAGTAGATTCTCGTCTCTTTTTTTTTCTCTTCCTCTTCTTCTTCCTCGATCTTCCTCTCCCTCTCTCTTTTCCACTTCTTCTCACGATAGCAAAGTTCGACGTCCTTAACTCTTTCCAAGCGGGATATGCGGGTCAACCTCAGCCCAAAGTCGGCGTCTAGGCCCCCAATGTTTGCAGTAGACTAGTGACTTCCACCCTCCCACCCGACTAACTATAGGACAGAACGCTCACTAACTGGTAGTACTGACCTAAACTAACCGTATCGTAGTTAAGATCCAAGACCAATTGGCCTTATTAGCACGTCACGATGAATTTTCCAGACGACTTTATTACGGCACTTAATATAATTTGAATTAACACTCGAATTTAGACCATGGTATGTCGGTTACACCTTGAATGAATGTCCTATTGTCAGGCAACATTCTTCAAACAAAGCTTGCTCCAGCATGACTCAATAATGCTCTTTCCCCCCTCCCCTTTCACAAAAGCTTCTCCCCGCTCGAGGTCAACCCCGATTTTCTTCACAAAAAAGAGATGGAGATGAAAAGCACTTGAAGGAAGCCTCTCCACCTTCGGATGCCTCCCATTGCTTCCGGTGGCACATACACACACAGAGAGAGAGAGAAGTTTAGAATCGATATTTCCACTGCGTTCATCACAGTCCCTGCACGGGCAAGGCCCACTTGTGTTTTTCCTTTTTGGGACCCGCAAGCGAGAATCCTCTCTCACGTGTGGTACGGTAATACCAGCGCGTATGGTAAAATCGAGCATCAACAACCGGACGATTCCGTCACGACTTCGAACCAGACCAGAACCCGGTATTATGGTCTCCAAAGACCCATCGCTGCACTGACACTGACAGGATCCGTACCTTCGCAAGGACTGCCCAATGACTTGGACCCTCCCTGCAGAGGAGGCATAACGGGCTTTTTTCTTTTCTTTTTTGTCGAACCCGGCACTGCCTTTCACTCCGCACGACGAAACTCTACATGACATTTATAGGGAACCTTGTCTTCTTTTCCTTCTTTTTTTATTCGGTTTTCCGCTAGTTCGGTGACACACCCCTGCGGATGTCGGAGGGAAGCAACAATAACTCTGTAAATATACCTGCCTAACGCCTGGCATTGGCATCGATTTTGCTGATCCCTGATCAAAGGATCGCCAACTCCCCCAGGAAGGCTCCAAGGCAAAAACGGAAAACCATGGATCAGCATGAAATCCAATGGACAACACTCCATAGTAATCAGAGTAAACAATAGTCATGCCTTTTCCCACACTTCCGAAGCGGAGAAGTGATGATACACAGGTGACGCAAGGCCGGAATGTCCCACGATGAAACCAGGTCCATGCTTGGTGCTGGCGCTCATGGTTCACTTTCGGGACCCTACAGAAAGTCAAGTCCAGTGCCACACCACCGTTAATCCCAGAAGGAGATCTCGATGGATGAAGAACGTACCGCTAAGGAACTGTCACTCGTAGTTAGTTAGGTATCTCTGCTCCTCCCCCCCTCACACCACATCGCATCACTAACGAAGGGAGGAGGGGGGCCTCTATTATCACATTGCTGTTGCCCAAATGCCACTAATGCACGGTGGAGGTACGTCCGTCCCGTTACCTGGGAATCGGCTAGTGATTGGTATGCCTCTGGCCACTTTCTTCGACTGTGGCAAAATGCATGTATGTCGGTAATCGTCGATACTCGAGTAGTACACACCCCAACACCACCTGACCTCACCCCCAGCTGAAGAAAAAGGATGTATGTATGTACCTCACTAGTAAGTAATACATACATACTACACTACTACTACCCCGAATGAGATGCCCTCGCCAACGGCCGTGAGATAATTGACTGGGGGTGCGTGCCAATTGCATCCGTGAAATCCGAGGATTGAGTTCTCGTAATAAACTCAAAGATCAACGGTCGTGATAGGGTCAAGACTCAAAGGAACTAACAAGGCATGCTTCCCTCTTACCCGATCTGGCGTCCTGAATCCTTTCCCGAGTGGGAGTTCACCGTTCAGCCTCAGGCAGCAGTGAAGTTTGATCACTTGATTCGAACTCCAGGTATCTAGGTATTCTTGAAATCTTTCTTTAGCTCACCCATTAATTGACATCTCAACATCCCTACCAAAAGACAAACACAATAACATACCCAGCAGAAACCACATCGGCCAAGAAAGGACCAAATCTAAGACACGATCCCCCAACGACGTCACGGGAGTGGGTCAAAGGCCAGTGACTTCATCGCCTCGAGAGCGTCGTAGACTCGTCGCACTTGAAACAAAGTACGTAAATTTACCACTACCACCAACCCTACCTTACCCACTCAGGTAGTACAAAGGACGACTTGGAGATAAAGCCAACAGGTAAGAACCCCTGAACCGCGCCGGAGATACATATTTACAGTAACGCTTATCCCCGTCTCACGCACTATCTTCGACGAATGGATTGATTATATATCAGGGATATAGAAGATCCGAGGCACGGCCTGAGTGGCCATATGGCACCTTAGTCGACTCGGTAGTGAGTTGGTTTATAGTATAGTATACTTATTCTCACGCTCCCACCTAAACACTACATATGCACATATGCAGTACGGTCCTGTCAAACGTTTACAAGTCACACACACACACCAGTAGATATGCAGTGTACCAGGACAAAGGTACTTCTCCAACAGGGTACATACCACGACAGAAGTACTCGATTAGTACTGATTATTTCAAAACCTCGCCTTGAATATACATCCTAACAGGGTGGCATGCATACCTTAGCAGCCGCAGAAACAAGGCACTCCTAGTAGGTAGTATATACATCTACTAGTAGTAGTCTGGAACCGGTTTCCGGACGCAGCCGATCTTCTTGAACCCACTGCATAAGCGAATAGAGATTAGTTAGTAGACATAGCCTTGTCTTGTGTCGTCGCACGGTGAGGGGCTGGATGGATGTTTTCTGTTTTTCACATGTAAAGATACACAATTGGTTAGGTGTCATTTATATAGAAAGCTTCCGTTCCGCGCCTGTCATGGGGAAAGTTAGGGATGGTTTACATGCACTGTCCGAAGAGCTTAACTTTGCTTCTCCACCTTAAGGTGAAGAACTGTCTGACTTGCTTTCGACGTGCGGTTGACCGCCGTCTCCACCGCTTTATGTATACTTACTCCTAGTAATTGGATCTTCCTTTGTATTATATGATACAGAGTAGACATGGACTGACTGTGGTAACTTTAGATATTAGGCTATCAACTTTGCATAAGTTGAACAGCCACGTCTGGAATGATTCATGTCATTAAGCTGGTTTCTATGGAATGGTATTTTCGATGCGAGTTCAGGTTGTCCTCCCTGTCACTCTAAGACAAATTGAATGTACAAGAAAATAAAGCGTCAATGCTTCGCTTGAATATTAGAAAGATCGTATTCTGTACATGGAGGATTACTGCAAACAGATGTCGCGAAAATAAAGCTTTTAAATGATCATGTGTTCATATTGGAGAAGGCTTCACCTTTAGTAGCGCTGAGGAACTCGATGGACTCCGCCATCCAGCACCACCCTATCGGGTTCGCCGTTATCGTAGTAGTGTTCTTCTCTAGCCACTGGTCGTGTAGAAAGATAGATGGGCCGCTCAATATATTCTCTGGGCCGTCGGGGGTCATCATCCATATATATGCTCACATCCCTGCCAGCTGGCCGGACACTCTCTACTCGTTGAATGACCTCCCGCGGTTCGTCGTACCGAGCGGTTGGTGGTCGTACGCTTGGCACTCGGACGATCCTCTCACGTGGAACCTCAGCCTCTTCAATATAATGCGGGCGTCGCGTAGAGTGGTCGGTCACCTGGACACTGGCGCTGCGTGGCAGCGGCTCTCGCTCATCAAATGGTGCTACATAAGGCCGACGCTCACTCGGGACCGGGCGAGCGTAGTCGGTCACCCGTCGATAAGTGCTTTGTGGAGGTGGCATATCCTGTACGTATCGCCGGTTACCGTACGGATCTTCCAGGACAGATGGAGCCCGAACACTCGTATAGCGTACTGGCGGATGGTCGTCGTAGACCTCACTTCTTGGTGCCGGCATTCGACTAGTTGGAGGAGGCATTGCTTGCATCCTCGGCGCAGGCACAGTTTCATAGTACTGATTGCCCTGCTCATCAACCACGATTCTCCGTGTTGGAGGCGCCATCATACGGGTTGGAGGCTCCTCATCGTAGTATGTCTCTTGATACCGTGGTGAGGTCGGAGAATCTCCCACAGGGATATAACGTCGTGTTGGAGGGGTTGCGACCTCGTCATAATACCTGGGCGGGGGCCGCTCAACAACAGCGTAGGACGAAGCTCGCATAGCATGGGGACTAGCTTGGTCAATATATTCACGAGGATATTCAGGCTGCCGAGCTTGATGGAGACTGGCAACTCTCCGCAAATCTTGGTCATCACGAATTGGCCGTCTGGTACTCAGCCGCGAAACGGTTCGCGGCATCCCGGAATCACCACGGATATCATAAGCATCTACATCATATGCAGGGTCTCTCAGTGGGGGCTCTCTCCTTTCAATTACCGGTGTGTATCGGGGAGATGCGATATCGATGTAGATTGGTCTCTCTTGAGCCGGACGACTACGGTATGCTGGGGAAGTGTCTGTGAACGGTGGCGGCGAAACTGGCTCCTCCTTGATGTAAGTGTCACCAGGGGCTCCAGTTTGCATTCTATATGCGACCGCGCGAGACCGGTCTCTTTCCTCATGCAACCTCCTGCGCTTTCTAGGCATCAATTGTTGGGGTGGAGCATCGGGACTTGCCTGATGTTCCGTACCGTACACTGGACGTGGCTCTTTGTGCTGATAAACGGAGGGAACTTTGGCATTGGCCAAGGGAGAAACCCTGGAAGGCCGTGGAGCTGCCGGGGACGTTATATGATTACGCACAACCCTTACATCGTCTCTAGGCGAGTTCGATTCGGGGGCATAACGGGGACGGTCGGGCTGACGAGCGTCTGGACCTCGCCTCCTCGTTCCATTGGGGTAATCTCGCTGAGGATCAACGTTATCCCCCCTCTCCATCGGGGCCACACCCGGGGCTGGCGGCGAATACTCCGGCTCTTCGAACGTGTCTGTTGGCTGAGCTTCTTGGTACTTGTGAGCGACAAAATTTGCCGCAGCAGGACGCGGCTGTTTCTGGTAGGGTATTCCGTGGTCTGCAACCGGGTAAGTATCTTGCATATCCTGATCCGATTCAGTGCGGTTGAGGGCTTCAAGCCGTTGCAACTCATCTGAATAATTCTCTGCTGGAGCCTCAGTAGCAGGCTCATCGGAATTAGAGGGAGGTGCAGGTGACTGTTTCTGTTGATCGCCCTGCTGAGGAGAGTCAGGGGCTCTACTAGAGTAGAACGAATTCTCAGAGTCACTAGGTTCTCCAGCACCACGGCCATCAACCGAGGGGGACGGCTTGACTATCTCGAAGGCCTTAATTAAAACATCAGAAACATCGAAGTCAGGCTTTGCATCCTGTATAGAAGTTTTTTGCCTTGACTCTTGTCTCTTCAGCTCAAGTTGTTCCCGCAAAGCCCTTTCCACCCTTTGACGCTGTAACTGCAGTTCTGCTCTGACTAGATCATCCGACTTGGTCAGGAAGATAGGATCAATTTCAGAAGTAGGTTTTGGTACAATACGCGAGGGAGCGGTTGTGCCAGACAGACCGTCACCGGCATTTGTACTCAGTGCGCTTGCAGGTTTTGAAGGCGTAAGAACAGGCTGAGATACATTCCATGTGGAAGACCTAGGCCGTTCACTCGTTTTTACCTGGGTTTGAGTGGAGGTAGGGGGGTTGCGCGACGCGGGTTTGCGCACAAACTGCTGGGGAACCTTCAATCTAGGGTGAGTTCCAGTAAATATATCGTCACTTATTTTCAGAATCTTCTCATATTCCTGGATTTCCTCATTTGTTGGTAGCCCCGTAGATATACTACCCGTGGGAAGCTGAGCTGCTGCCATGGTTTTGGCAGCTTTCACGAGAAATTTATCCTTGCTAACTGAAGGTCTTCTTAAACTCGTGACACTAATAATAATGACTTTTCACACCTTTCCCAGGCTGTGAAATCCCCAGTCTCGAATCAGCGTCTGACAAGTCAGACGGCCTGGGCGTGATCAAAGTTGGAATAGTTGGGGAAGGGGAACGGGGACGTCGTGTTGTTTCGAAGGAAAAGTAGTACTAGTACAACCAAAGTCCGAACGTGTCGCCGACCGCCAGCTCTCGTGAGACGCTAAACTCCCTCCGGACAGCGATGGCAGGTGGGCGTTTTATCCCGCGGTTATTGGCTATCGATACCCCCCGGTATAAGAATCAGTGTCTTATACATTTGATTCCTGTTCATCTTGCGCTATGAGTCATTTCTTTTCCCGGTCATTGCTATCAAGATCTTCTCGTGCGTGCTACTTGTCACCTAGACTTCAGAATCTGTCGCCACTCTTTCTTACTCGCATCGGAACCGCCTCCTTTTCCAATACTAATATATATCACTTCAGAAACGCCATGTCTCCATCAAACGATGCGACCAGCGCGGGCTCCGATCATAGACCGGTGTTCTTCTTTGATATCGATAACTGTGTATGTAGATATACAATTCTCGAACATTTCTTCCTTATAAACTAACATGCGATGTGTACAGCTTTACTCCAGAAGTATAGAAGCCCCCTCCCGAATGGCGGGGAAGGTGATACTGAGCTGACGATCGCATATAGAATGTAACATCCACGATGAAATGCAGAAGCTGATTCGTGAGTGATACCTACCATTAGCATATAGCGACGCAACTAACTAACTACTTTTCTTTATCACAGACCAATTCTTCGTGAAACACCTCTCCCTCAACGGCGAAGACGCGCATATGCTGCACATGAAATACTATACCGAGTACGGGCTTGCAATTGAAGGTCTCGCTCGTCACCACAAAATCGACCCGCTTCAATTTAACAGTGAAGTCGACGATGCGCTGCCGTTGGACACCATTCTGAAACCCGATCCCAAGTTGCGCAAGCTGCTCGAAGACATCGATAGGAGTAAAGTGAGGTTGTGGCTTCTGACCAACGCATATGTCAATCATGGAAAACGGGTCGTGAAATTGTTGGGGGTGGACGACCAATTCGAGGGCATCACCTTCTGCGACTACGGAAAGCTCCCTCTCATCTGCAAGCCAACACAGGAGATGTACGCTAAGGCGGAGAGGGAGGCAAATGTCCCGAGTACGGCAGAGCGCTATTTTGTCGGTATGTATTCTATGGTTTGGGCGTAAGGCTTGTACACAGTACTAACTCGCTCTTGTAGATGACTCCGGTTTGAACTGCAAGCACGCCGCGGCTCGCGGCTGGCAGACGGCTCACCTCGTTGAGCCAGAGCTTCCTTTGCCCGATGCGCCGGTGTCACAATATATGATCCGGAGCCTGGAAGAACTGAGGACATGCTTCCCACACTTATTCAAGAATTCTAACTGAATCGAGTGTGAATAGATAATCTGCATAGAGGTTTTTGTACATTGTATTGTGTTACGCACGTTATGAAGGCTACGAGCGATGGCTATACATAGGGTTTCTTCCTTTATACATAGATCTAGATGTATATATATGTTGGGACGAACATAATCACAAACAGTCTATTATCATTGCCAACCGAAACACTTTAAGAACCAAAGGTCGAGGCCAAAAGTTACGAAGATATGCTGATAAGCTATCTGATGCCTCAGGCTGCAAAGAATCCTTCCGCGCGGATCGCGTCCTAAGGCTCCGAACGGAGGTCCGCCGACTAGGAACACAAACACATCAACAACGGCCCCTATCTGACCGCCATACCCGATATCCAGGGCCATTGTTCGCGCAGGGGCTTTATCTCTGAATGATTGATCATGGCTGATTTAACACCCGGCCATGTGGTCACACTAACCGACGGTCGGCAGGCCACCGTGCGGTTTGCTGGAACTACTCACTTCGCTGCCGGAGACTGGGTCGGCATTGAATTGGACGAACCCACAGGAAAGAATGACGGAGCCGTCCAGGGAGAACGCTACTTCGACTGCGAATTTGGATATGGCATGTTCGTCCGACCAACTGCCATCGCAGCCATTATTGGCCCTCCCGCAAGAGAAGCCAAACCGGCTGCTAAGGGGACCGCGAATGCTCCGCAGACCAGAGGGCGGGCCCAAACTGGAGCTTCTGCGAGCGGACTGGGGATCAAGAAACCGAGCGCTATACAGGCCACGAATACGAAAAGACATAGTGGCAGCTCGGCCAGCCCGAGTCCTGCGGCGAAGACTGCGTCCCAGCGGTTGGGCTTGAAGGTATGTGCATCTTGAGCTACGGAGCTGATGGGACTGCTTGCTCATTGACCTAGCAACCGCAGTCGCCTACAAAATCGCAATCGCCGACGAAGCAGCTATCGGGTGCATCCACGCCACGCTCCTCCATTAGCGGGCCCTCGAGGCCGTCCGCTGCGACATCTAAAGGCCGGCCGTCTATTGGGGCTAAGTCGACATCCATGGGCCCCCACCTCCCCCATCTGCGTCGCGGCCCTCCCGGCCATCGATATCTGGAGCTTCGAACAGAACTGTTAGACCAGGCCTACAAGGAACCACGACAGCACCCGCTGGGGCAGCCAAGCGCCCTGCTTTGCGGCAAACCGCTTCCAAGACCTCGGATGAACAAGACAGAGAGAGCCCACAGTCAGATGATATCGAGACTGCCGATAATTATGCCGAGGCCGATGAAATAGAAAACGAGGAGCCAACTGCTAAGCCGCCCAGACTGGCTTCTGGTTCGTCACGGGCAGGTGCTGCTCGCCCGGGGCTCTCCCAGACCTCGTCGCCGCGACAAGCTCAGAGTACCGCGCTGTCAAGGGAGCTGGAAGAGTTGAAAACAAAGCTTAGGGTGATGGAGAAAAAGCGGACTGAGGATCGAGAGAAACTTAAGGCTTTGGAGACACTTCAGCAGGAGCGGGATAAGTTCGAAGGCATTATCCAGAAACTGCAGGCGAAATACCAGCCACAGCAGCTTGAGATTAGCGACCTGCGAAAGAAGTTGAGAGAATCGGAGGCCCAACTCGAAGAGATCGAGCGCATCCAAGCGGAGCATGACTCGATTTTGGAAATGGCCACCCTCGACCGCGAGATGGCGGAAGAAACGGCCGATGCTTTCAGACATGAAGTTGAAGCATTGAAGTTGAGGGTGGAGGAACTTCAATTGGAAGCGGAAGTCCTACGCGAGGAGAATGAGGAGCTCGGTCAGACCATGAGCCCGGAGGAGAAGTCCAGCCATGGATGGCTGCAAATGGAGAGAACAAATGAACGTCTCCGTGAGGCCCTCATACGGCTTCGTGATATGACGCAGCAGCAGGAATCGGAGTTGAAGGACCAAATCAAGGAACTACAGCAAGATCTGGAGGACTATGAAAGTATCAAGTCCCAGTATGAATCAACCAAAGAAAAACTGCTTGTAGCGGAAAACAATGTTGAAGATCTTAAGCAGCAGCTGGAGACTGCTCTTGGTGCGGAGGAGATGATCGAGGAGCTCGCAGATAAGAACATGCACTACCAAGAGGAGATCAACGAACTGAAAGCTGCCATCGAGGACCTCGAAGCGCTGAAGGAAATCAACGACGAGCTCGAGTATAACCACATCGAGACAGAAAAGCAGATGCAGGAGGAAATCGACTACAAGGAATCCCTATTTAACGAGCAATGCCGCAAGGTTGCACAGCAAGACGAAGTCATCGAGGACTTGGAGTACACTTTGGCGCGGTTTAGGGAGCTAGTCACAACTCTCCAAGGGGACTTGGAGGATATGCGAGCCTCGCAGCAGATCACAGAGGCCGAAGCTACGGATCTAACAACACGCTCTCGTGCCATGATGGACCTGAACTTGAAGCTGCAGGCATCAGTTTCAAAAGCGCAGACAAAGACCATCGACATTGAGCTGGAACGTATGGACGCCCAAGAGGCTGCCCAGCACCTGTCCATTTTGAAACTCTACCTTCCCGAATACTTTGAGGGAGAGAAGAACGGCATCCTTGCACTTCTACGTTTCAAGCGTGTTAGTTTCAAGGCCACACTGATGAGTAGCACCATCCGAGAGAGATTCCCCGAGCAGGCATCCGATCCGGCCGTCGTGGAAGATGGCTTCGTAGCGCATGATGTCCTCGAGAAACTTCTGTGGATCGGTTCCATCTGCGACCGATTCATTAACTACATCACTAACTGCTCCGCAGAGAGCTTCGACAGGATCAAGGCCACATTGTTCGAGATGGAGCCGGTAGAGCGCACCATGAACTTTTGGATAGAATCCGTAAGGAAGAACGAGCTGAACATGAAGAAATGTGGCATTGAGCTACAAAGGTCCATCGCACTACTATCCCATCTGGCGGAAGTCCACCTACCAACTTCATTAGAGACATTCGCGACGAGCTCTGCATGCGCTCATCCCTAACACAGTCATACATTGACCACGCCGCATCATCAATATCACGCCTCAGAACTCTGCTGCAGTCCAAACTCTCAGCCCCAGAAGGCGAAGAACAAGAGATCAATTTCCTCATCAGCAAAATGGAAACCCTAGTAACCCAAGCCCGGGGGCTAAAGGTAGCCATGGGCAAGATCCACAAGGCCCTCGAGGATCTCCGATCAAGGTCCCTTGCCCTGTCCCAAGACATAGCAGGCCCCTTTAAGAAAACCGAGGAAGCCGCCAAAGATCTTTCTGAACTGGCCCGGCACCTAGGAGAGAACATCGCGCTTATCGTAAGTGACGAAAGCCGAACGGAGCCACTGGCGCTAGAAGAGGCAATGAAGAGCATGTCCCAGGTCTCGACCCTTTATGCGCAGCCATCGGAATCAGGAAGCGAATGTAGCGACACAATGTCCTTCATCGCCAACAGACTGCGCAGCCTAGGCGGAAACCTCGAGGAGCTCGACTCAATCTCAACTGACTTGTCAATCACATCAGAATTTGAAAGACTCCCCTCACCCTGGATCGCGCGAGCCTCAGAACTTAAATCCAACAAAGCAGTGTCTCCAGACGCGGATGAAGAAATCCGGCGTCTCAAGAACGAGATCCACGAAGCCTCAACAGCCCTAGGCGTCAAGGATAAGACGATCGAAGAGCAATCGCTGAAGGTCGAACTGGTCAATTCCAGAATGCAAGAAGCCAGCAAAAAGGCCTCCATGGTCAAAGAGCTCGAGACCAAGATCGAAGCCATGCGAACAAAAGAAACAGACCTGGAGCACGTTGTCGAAAAACAACGCAAAGACCTCCAAGCCCTGGAGACAGAGCGCGAGGAGATCAAAGTCCGACTGGACAGGGTCAAACGCGCGTCCGGCACAACCGGAATCACCACAACAGAGGGCGTTGTGGTTGACAACGCCCTTTCCCTGGCTACGATGCGCGAGAACGAGGCTCTCCGCGCCGAGGTGGAAAGTCTGCAAGCGGCCGTCCGCTTCCTGCGCGAAGAGAACCGCCGCGCCAACATGCTCGACCCGTACTCTGTGCAGCGCTCAGCAGAGATGTACTCTTGGCTTGACGTGCCCCTTACACAAGCCAATGGCAATGCCCAGCGTGAAAAGATCCAACAGACCGCCTCGGAGAGTAGGGACGTCTTTACTCATCTTCTCAAGCTAACCAAGGAGTCGAATATCTGCGATTTGAAGTCCACCGTGTCCCAGGAGAACGGTAACCGTGCCAGTTGGCGTCCGTCGAAGACTAAGCTGCGCTACCAGGTTCTCCAACAGCGGGAGAACTTCGAGCACTGGACCGAATGGCGCGATGATATCGTCAACCAGGAAAGAGAGCAGGACAGACTGGTTAATACGAAGAAAGAGCGCCTTGCTCGTGATCGAGCCCGGAGACACGCACCCAAGAATTCGGTGTTTGGTGGCTTTCCGCAGGGGCTAGGACATGGAATGATGGGGCATGCTTGGGAGATCCTAGGCATGCAGCAAGATCATCGCAAACTGGCTGATAGACCGGTAGAACCCTCCATAACGCCATCGTTCTGAACAGCACGTTGGATGGTAATCGGAGTACTATACCCATTTGTTTCATATCTTAATTGCATTATACATTGATTTTGCCTTGTATGTATGTGACTCGCTGTAAATAATTATCTATTGTAAATGAACATTCAAGATGTTGCAGTCTCAACGCTCAACGATACATTCCAATCACTCAACATATACGACAAAATAAAACTAGGAACAAAAGCAAGTACTGTACAACTCCAGACTGATTCCGTCAAGTCTAAACAAAGCGCTGGCAATGCATCCCGAAAGGCGTCGAGTGATTGTCATGAAAGAAAGACATCAAACAAAAGCTGGTGCGGTAATGATGAGATAGTCATGGACATCATAGATAGGTGTCGGGAAGGCCAAAAATACGAAGCTGTAGACAAACCATGACAGCTGCGAGTTTATAAGTTGGGACACTAGATATGCGAATATTATATCAGGTAAAAAAATTTTTACACCGCGAAAAAGGTGACAGTCTTCCATGCGACAAACATCGAGCTTGGCTCTCAGATTAGAGCGCGCCCGATAGAATAGCTTCGGTGGCTACAGGGATCACACACAGTTAGTAAGGTTCTGTTGTAATATCTTAGCGGGGAAAAATTCTTACCTGAGTTGATATATGGACGCTTGGCATCGAGATTCACACCAAAACGTCTCTCCAGCTCTTGTTTGATACTCTTCTTCGTCACGGTCATTAGATCGGCTGACCGCAGGATCTCACGGATTTCCGCGAGAATGGCATCGTCGCCAGGCAGATGCGATAGATCTTCCATCTCCATATCCATATGGCGGCTCATCATCTCGGAAGGAGCCAGAGACATCCTGGACCCATAGCGAGGGAGATCGAACTGAGACACTGGTCTAGCTCCAGGGAACCCGTATTCGGACTGCGCAGGGTGATACGATTTAGTACCATAGGAGAAGCCTGAAACTTCTGAGCGATCGTCTCGTGACGTCTGAGCCTCCCAGAGCTCCGCTTGATACTCCTCCCATCTCTTCTTCGGAATGGAGGCTGGGTCGAACTTTCCTTCATCTGAAATGACAACTTTGCGACCCTGTTCTCCAGTGATAACACGAGTGTTTCCCCAAGAAAAGTCGTCCATATGCCAGAACGAGTAGAACGGCAGGGCCACGGAGAAGATAGGCATGGCCAGGAGGTACACGATCATCCATCCAATCATTTCCCACTTGCGACGGAAGATGAAGATGAGGGCCTGAAGACCATAGATCGCTGCGATGAGAACAAAAGACGTCCATGGAATGGTGGATGAATCTCTGGCAAGCCAGACAATCAAGTAGATGATATAGGCGAGCGAGACAGGTTGGATGCAGGTACTGAGAAGGTCAACGAAGACAATGAATCTCATACTAAAGCAACAGAAACCACAGAGCTGCTGAAGAGGGATCAGTTCAATTAAATTGTGGACGGTTGAGTTGATCCATCTACGACGTTGCGATAAGAAGACTGCGAAGCTTTCAGGTGCGATTGTCCAGGCCTTGGCTGCAAAAAGGAACTTCGTCTTGAAACTAGGATGATGCTTGAGGAGAAGGGTTGTCAAGTACCGATCCTCACCCAGGTGTAGCAGGTTCTTCATATGGAGTGTGTCGACACGAATTTCCGAGTAGGCTTCCACGACCTCCTTGCTAACGAAAAGCGGTTTTGCGGTTTCTGCAGAGCGAATACGGTACATGGTGAAGCAGCCCGGCAAGCATGTGACTGATCCAAAAAGACTTTCGAAAGCCTTGATCAGATTGTGGGATATGAAGTATTCGTAAACTTGGATCATTGTCACCGCTGAATGCTTAGCATTTGTTAGGCCTGTTTCGCCACAGATACCTATAATACGCGTGTCGGCTAGGCAAGAAGCAACAAATCGTGTTCCTGAATCGGGCGCAACCACCGTATCAGCGTCGACTTGCAGAATGAACTCGTAGAACGTGGGATTGACGCCAATAATGTTACGAATTTGGTGGTACATTTCCAGTTCCATAGGACTCATGGGGAGGTTGTAATGCACGCGGTTCAAGAAGCGCATGAGTACCATCTGAGAGTCACGTTTCCCACGGTTACCAGGTCGTGAGACTTCAGAAGGCTTTCCGACTTTAACGACAACAAGGAAAGGAACGATATGTCCCTGCACCTCATATAGACCAGAATAGATCTTACCCATGTTGTGCTGCTTCATGCCTTCGCCCAAACTCTCAAAGCTGAGGGGCTCTGGATCCACTGATTCGGGAACGCCCAGAATATCCAATACGATCCGTGGAGTAGGTCGATCGTTTCCTTGTCCAATAATCATGCCATCACAGATGACAACAAGCAGTTTACGCTTGTCGTCATACTGCATGCGGGCCATAGAATCCATTGCACGGCGAAGGGACTCCTCATCTTCAGTGTAAGCCGGTACTTGACAAATGATGAACTTATCAAGATTTTCGGGGACGTTTTTCTTGCCAAATTGTAAAGCGGCAGCAAATTTGAAGATGACAACCGAGCAAATCAAGATTGAGATTGCAAGGATGAAGTAACGCGCAAACTGGCATTGGGCTGAATTACGCGTATCGACCTTGCCGACGAAGAAAAGGTTATCCAGACACATCTGCATGCGATCACGCATGCCTGCATCTATCTGCAGCTGTTCCCAGTGTTTACTCAGGTCCTGTCCGGGAAGATCTTGGAAGAGCGACACCACTAAAGGATCCATAAACTCCCGGTCGACATTAGCTGGGACTTCTTTTCCGGGAGGAGCTGCCACCCGTCGACCTCCACTTATATAAGTTGTCAAATCGTAGACCTTTCCGTCTATGCTTCCGATGTTCTGGGACTTTTTGGCCAACGTGGAGATGTATTGTGGAGTATAACCAATATATCCTTTCAGATAGGTCGCCCTCAGTTGTTTCATCTGCTCTGCGAACCAATCTGGACGGGAGTCGTTGGTGTAGAAGCGGAAATCGTGGTATTTTGCGTTGACATCTCCTGAGCTTATGGTCGTCGCTGATCCGGAGATGTTCGTAGGGGTGTAATCTAGAAGAACAGTGGGATCGATTGACCCATCCTTACCTTGGCATAATGCTGACACTTGTACAGGGAAGAGACCGGTAGCATCAATGCCGGCATATCTCTTCAAAGACGATTGCGGCACAATATCGGGATAATGTCGGGGCATGAATTTATCAAGGTCAAAAACCACACCGCGAATGGCAATGAAAGAGTTGTGGCCGTCTTTGCCGTTATGAGAAGACAATTCCGCAGCTGAATACACATGCTGTGTCGGACATACCAAACCGGGGAAGGCGACGATCATGAAAATGGCAACGGCACAACTGAACCAAATAATCAAGTTGATCGCTAACTTCTCACGCCAAGCAGTTCGTACGTCTTTGCGTTTCATCCGGCCAAATATTCTGATGGCGAAGTCTGGAATGTAGAATGTAAGCAACCAGACGATTGCCATCCAGCGTTTGCGACTACTCGAAACGGGTACTTCGTCCACCTCTTCCATTTTTTTCTCATTCCCTTTTTCCAACATCTGCTCTCTTGTCTCGAGGTTGTGGAACATATCACCCGAGTTTAGGCCAGAGCCACCGGTGTCAGATCGCCCATCAAGATCGCGACTTCCGAAGTATCCTTGCTTGTTTTCATCGCCGTATATGAAGTTGCCGGGAGACTGGTCTGCCGGGTTGAGAAGACGAACTTTGGAATCCCCATACGCGGCGGCACGTGGGTGAAGGAGGCCATCACTTTCTTCCGAGCCTTCGGCGTGGTAGACAGGAATGACACGCTCGCCTACCTTTGCGAGGTCTGCCCAGCAGCGTTCACTCAGGAAGACACCCGTGCTGCCAACACGGGCTTCATTACCTGGCCACCGCTTCTCATCTAGCACAACCTCTGACTTTTCTTTATCGCTTCCCACCACGACGTTGCCTATCTCAGCTAAACCAAGGAATTCCTCAAAGGGAAGGAAAACGCTGAAATCCGCGTTCCTTAGGCGTTGGCTAATCTCAGCGATGCCAAAAGTTTGCACCTGAGCTCGCACACACTTGCTGTCAAATTGATTCGCAATTCGCCGGTCGTTTGGCTTTAAACAAAACACGAAGTATGGATTCAACATAGGGGAGCTGAGGCATTTATTGACGATTTCAAGCGAGGAAAGGAATTGTCCGGCAGCACCCTGAATGCCGGTCATAGACATCGCGCTCTTTCGCCTTCCAGAGCTTTTCGCTGTACTGCCCCCATAGCTCTCATAGTCTTCGGGTTCTTCCGCCGTGGGTGCATCGAAAGTAAGACGAGATGCTGGGCCGGCCTTCCGCCTTGCCATGCTAGGCATTCTCAAGGGCTTTGAGCTTACCTGAGCCTGCATAATAGCGGTCTTCTCCTTTGGGTGGGTCACTGTCTGTAGTGCTTCTTGTCCGAAGAGCTCTCTCACGAAGTCGCTTCTGGTGGACTTCATCAAGTTCATCAGGTCACCGGAGATAACTTCTCCATTTTCCTCAAGTAGACCGGAGATGGAGTAATCAACTTCACCAGCGAAATGCTTCACAGTAAATGCCGAGCGGGCTTGCTGCGAGACATATCCGGTTCCGTGAGTAGACCCTGAGCTTCCGACAACAATAGCCGGGTTTTTGTTTTCGAACCGTTTCTTTAACGACTCGGCGAATTGAGCTTCCGTTCTACCGCGCCTAGTTTGATCATCGAGAATGCTGAGAAGCCCATTGCCATGTTTCAACAGCCCACGGACAGCATCAGTATTGTCAAAGTAGCTTGTCGCAGGAACTACAACTTCTTCGCGTTCTAACATATCAGCCTTGCGGTCGAAGAAGGACTGCAGGCAGAAATTGTACAGCGATTCGGTGGCTGCATTGCTAAGAAGCTGATCCAGTGTGGATCCAGTTGAGCATGCCTGGGAGAAACCAGGGAAATCAACAATAGACACGGTGTTGGCAACGCTATCCTCCGCAGCGCATATTCTCTGGTTGACAGTCTCGAGAATATAAGCCACTAGTAAGGAGTAAATAGTGCGCGCAAGTTCATCAGCGTTTTGCCGGGCACCCTTGGGGTCCAGCATCACCGTGACGCGCTCCCGGTGGATGGTCTTAGTCCGATAACTAAAACTATTCTCAAGTTCATCAACTCCAAGACCCAAGAATGCGGCGACGCTGGACAGGACATCCTTATTCTTCACTACCGTAACAGTCTCCCCACCCTCGTGTGAATAGCCGCCAGACTCCTCTGCCGATGTCAAAGTAGCTTGTCCGCTGGCAAAGTCTAGTTGGCCGATATGAAGGATAGCAGCAAGAATTTGACAAATCTCGGCTATCTCACTGCGGGGGAACTCGAGCTTCCTGAGTGCTGTCTTGAAATGTTGAAAGCCCTCCGCATCATTGATGCCTACCTTGAGCTGAGTTGGATGGCCCAGATATCTCCACCTCTTGTGACCTATCGATGCGGATGAAAGCTTGCCGGCACTCGTGGAAACGTGGATAGAGTTATCAAAGCCCAAGTGACTCTTTTCTGCCGCACTTGTCCCAGCTAAGAGATAGTAGAGGACATGGAAGCTTCTTTCACCTGTGGGGACTGACGCAATACGGCTGCGTTCGAGTCTGTGGTCGATGATTTTACCACCGATCAGCGTTGGGTTGACCGACGACGAGCCGTCATACTGTAGTTCCAAGAAAAGCCCCGCCTTCGATGCCGTGGGTGTGGTCAAAGACTTGGTCGTTGTCAATGTATCAAAGATAAAGGAGGCATACGACAGTTTTGACGACAAGGGTGTTTTTGAGAACGAGAGAAACGACGACAACACATGCGCTCGAATGGTAGTTTTTCCAGCCCCGCTCTCCCCGCTACAAATCGTCAATTAGAAACCAGACCGTATAGATGTGTGTATTCCCAGAATGCGCTTACAGAAAGACAATGGCCTGGTTCTCTCCGCGGGCACCCAGGCGAGTGAAGGCACGGCGGGCGAGGTCTTCCGCCTCGCCCATGGCACTGCCCTCTTTGCCGCCATCAGGGCCCTTTGAAGATGAAGTGTATGTGTTAAGACTGATTAAAGCCTGAGAAGACAGGCGAGCTGTAGGTAAGCCGACATGGAACCTAGAAGAAAAGCCACCACGTTAGTCAAACATGGAGAAACAGTGGATTGCGATACCATACCGGCTAGCTAAATGAGCAGTCAAATGCGTGTCTGATTGCAGATGAGCTGGTAACGAGGGTAGCGACGACTGCGCATGGGACGGAACTGTCCCAGCTGGCGAAGGCCCAACCATATTATCAATGGCTCGAAGCCTCGACGCTGGGGGTACTTAAGCACCGGTCACGACAGTAGCAATCGGTATGGGCGTCTTACGAAAGATCGGTAAAGACCCCGGCGAAGGAGAATTGGAAAGAAAAAAATTCCAGAAAGCGATCTTGCCCGGCGTGGTCTCGAACTGGATAGGGCCGCTCAGTTATGCTGATTTAGATGAGGTGTTGGATGGCTTGGAATGTTGCAACGCCCTGGAATGGAGAATATGTCTTATCAATAGAGAAACGATAGGCACATTGCTTGTGAAGATGGCAAACGGATCCTCAAACAGCACGCGGCTCGTTGATTTTCTGCGGAACTTTGGCGCAATGAATACGAGATGAACAGCTGGCGAGTTTCGAAGCGAGAGTGGTGTGAAGAGAAGTGTAGCGATTGTATCTGGAGAATGACTTGCAGGCGGATGGGAACGATGGTTGAACACGCTGTGATTATGATTATTACTCTGGGAGGATATTCAAATCCAATCAGGAAAAAGAAGGATCAACCGAAACAGAGGAAGGGAAACGGAGATAATTGAAGAAAGATACAAAATGCACAAAAGCAAAACAGAATGAGCAATTCAACAGAGATGAGCTTTTCGGGAGAAAAGAAACAAACGATATGAACAGCTTCTGGGGAAAAGAAAGAGTGAACCAAAACTACTAGTGGCAGTTACTTGAACTGGGTAAGTGTGGTATTGAATGGATCTGTTACCATCAGATGCTTGCTTGGGTAGGTTACTCGGTGGGCCACACTTGTCTTGAATTGTGGTTTTTCAAATTACTCGGTTTTACTTGGTTCGATACCTTAGGTATGCCTGTATCAAACAATTTAAAGAAAAAAAAAAAAAAGAAAGAAAAAGAAAATCAAATTTACTAGTCGGATCAGCACCCGATGATATAAATACTCGGATTGGCCATCTCGAGTCAGGAATTCATCAGCATTAATCTGTATCCTGTCCGACGTAGATTGAGTGAGCGGATCAGATTGTTATTATTTTCAGAGGTTCCCCCCAACAACCGAGGCCAAGTGGACGCAGCGTCTTTGATCCGACCACTCAGACTACAGTGGAGTTTGGTGAACCCAGTCGGCCGAACCTTGAACTTTACCCGTTCCCCTCCTTCCAATTATTCAGAGTGCGTGTATATGAACATCATACCGAAGCAGGTAGGTCCTGATGGACAATATCCTGGTACTACACGGCACGATGTGCCCTGAACCTTGGGAAGATATGAACAAAATGATTACACCTCGCACGAATTACAGTTTCGGCTCCCCGATTTCCATACCTTGGTTGATTCAAGATACCAGCCGTACGGGACCACCGTAGTTTACATCAGTTCTTCCCATGGTTAACGCCACATGCTCTTGACAGGTTACCGAACGACTTCAGGGGGCGCGCTAGATATCCCTTGAGCATTACGGTATGCAAAACCTTTTCCTTTCTTTTTTTTAAAGTTCATCCATTCCGTAAAGGAGGCACTATAAATATATATTAATCAATAAATGCATCGATCACCTGCAATATAGGAGGTTTTCCCTCCATAGTTAGTAAGTCGTCTCCTTTATAGGTTACAATCAAGAAAAGGGACCAGACCCTGAGGGGTTTAGGGGAAAGAGCGCGAAAAGGAAAAGAAAGAAAATCAATTTAAGTCTGGGTGGGTCGGATCATTCGATTGACTTGTCCTGATAGGGAAAGGTCTGAAACTAGGGCCCCTTTGGCTGGTTCTGGTTCCATTATCATGTTTTGCAATTCACAGTGGAAGATAATGGAATGTATCCTGAAAATTTTCGCTTTCAGGTTTTTATGGAAATGGTTATGATCATCGTGGCCCTTCAATGTGATCCCTAATATATTGTGTACTCCAGAGTAGACTACGTTTCTTGTATAGAGGGGCAGCTCATATTGATCAGTGGACACGGTCGGATTGTCCTCAGCACCAGCACATACCTCCTAAACTTCTAATACTAACCTCTATAGGCTTTACAAGACTCACTAGTGACCAACTAATACTACCGAGATACATAGGTCGCATGTAGTCTGTACAGTGGATGTTTTGCAGAAAACAATGACTAGAGCCGCCACAATTGCCTTGAAAGAGGCGCAATGATCTGACTTGGTATAAAAATAACAACGCCGTTAAGGCGGCCAGTGCCAGATGCATGCTGCATGATTCTGGATACTACTGGACTTACTAGTAGGAACTAAACATATGACAACTCGGACACGCCTGGAATAGAAAAATTGTATCGGAGCAAGATAACCTTGATTGGCTTTGACTGAAACACGGGTGTCTTCAGCAAGGTCTGTTGACCCAATCTTTACGATATTCGATACGGAAGTCTGGTGGCCACGGAGTGCGGGTGAGACAGAGTGTGCCATTTTTAGCTATGGGAGTCTCCAAGGGTCTAGGGCCATGGATCTGACTCTCCTCGCTACCGCCATTGGCCAAGACAAAAAGTCCTGATGCACGCCACCTGACAGGTTTGAGAGGGGAACCGAAAGGAAAAAAGAAACAAGAAAAAGGAAAAAAAAAAAGTAAACAAACCCACTCAAGCAATCAGATACACACAAAAAAAAAAGAAAAGAAAATCATATGTAAATTGAATATTACACAACGACGACTATGTATCATATGATTTGAAAATTTCCTTTCTCAACAGATCCTAAGCCCGATTCCGAACAGAATGCACCGAGGAAAGGGGGAAGAATTGCCCATTGTTATGACCCAAATACCAGATATGATTTACGGACTAAATGTTAGCTACTATCAGTAGTGGGGACAGCACGACGGAGTACTCCATTTTTTTTTCTTTTTTTTGCACTCTGCACTTTCAAGGCCGTCAATCAGAATTGCCAATTAAAAACAAGCGAAGGGGGGTTTGCCTTGAAACAACAACGCACCGAGCAAATGGAAACTGAGGTAATTTTCGTATGCTCGTACCGGCAGTACCAACCCATATCCAGTTAAGCTTCTGGGACGACAACTTACCTTAGGCTGGCTGGCAACAAACTCGCATCACAGGTGATCGTTTCGTTCTCTTCTTTCTGTCTGCTTCTTCCTATTCTATCCACCTCCCAATTGTCCGCCTCTGTTGTTGTTGTTTGGATTCCTCTTGCTTGATTTTTCCTTCGTTACGGGAGTAGTGCTTTCGAGTGTGTTTGATCTTCCTATCTTATTACTTTTTCTTTCTTTTCTTTTGATAACCGAATCGTTAGCCCTTCGCTTCGCATCATCGGTTGTAATTATAATCTCCGGGCTTTACAAACGTCGCTTTGCCCAACACTCGCTGTTCATCCGCATTCCCGTCACTCGCTTCAGCACCTGAAGAATACTACATCATCATTTCTAACAATCACAGCTTCTGAATCTACTATTCAAAGCTTCCCGCTCAGACTGTGCTCGCATATCCTCCATTCGGGCTCACGGCCGCAGCGACACTAGGACCCTGTACGCATGCCTGTATCCTTCGCTTAGTGGTGAAGAGAGAACTGAAGACGGGAAGGTTGTAGTTTCATGCTCTGAACGTATAGATCTCGGTTCGTCGTTCTTTCCATCGCTTGATTGGCGTTCATTACGAGAACATATCGGTGATAGACCGCCGATTAACCTCGGGGTTGCACAACGATGTCAAATCGCTATTCAGTCTATTCCAGCCATTCGGCTGCTTTCTCCACCGGCGGCCGAGCGCCCCAGTCAGGTGGGCAAGTGTCGACGACGACGTTGCTAAATGCGTTGCATGCGCATTATACGACCGGACAGCCCTACCAACTCGATGCGGGAACCAGTCTAGTCGTGAATACATTGCTTACTGCAACGCAAGCAACCCCAGAAGGCCATACCGGGCCTACAATAGATCGCGAACTAGCAGTCAGAGCTTGGGAGCACGCAAGGAGAAGAGCAGAGGACGGTTGTATCGTTTTATGGTTAGCGCTCATCCTGAGATCCAGCAGTATTGAAAGGCCAACTGACATTCAATCATAACCAGTTCTACTCACCACTCAGCACCATCCGTTTTAGAGCCATTCCTAGCAACACTACCTTTGTCCACTCCTAGTATCGCCTTCACTGCGTTGGCCGCTCTCCGTCCCTTTTTGACGGCTGTAACCACCTTCAACCCTTCATACTCACTCTATTCCGCGCTTTCGGCTTGCTACACCTTGACCCTCAAGGGCGACATCACCGGGCTATCTCTAGCACTTTCGACTTCAGGGATCAATGTCCGCAAAGGATTCCTCGACATTCCTTCTGAGCCGGGGTATCGCGCCTTCGACGTGTTCTACTATCTCTTAACGGCTGCATCGACACCAGCCGAGCGGGAGTTCTTGGACCTGAAAGACGCTTCTTCCTACGCTCTGCTCCGCAAGTCGGGTACATATACACCCCCATCATATCTTCCTACTGCCGACGACGCTGCCGCTGCCGAAGACTTTAGATCTGCTCTCAAGGCCATCGGCATCAAAGGTGCAGCTCAACGAGATCTTTTGTCAGTACTTACAGGGTTGCTCAAGCTTGGTAATGCGGCTGGCTTCCTCGTTGACCAGGAAGACCTGGAGGAGGCGTGTGAAGATGTTGGTGGTTTACTGGGCATAGACCCTGAAGTTCTTCTACACAAATGCTCTACCGACGAGAGAGAGGTGTTGATTTCTGGAATATACGAGGCTTTGGTTGATTGGGTGATCGGAAAAGCTAATGAAGCTATTGCGAGCCAGCTTCAGGCGAGCTTAGATGATAGCAGTCGTGGCTCGGGACAGCCAGCTCAGTGGTCCGACGACGATACGGTAAGCATCACTGTGGTTGATCTGCCTAGGCCTGCGCTGGGGAAAGCTGTCGCTATGAGGGGGGTATTTGACGATACCTTGGGAATCAACGCAGAAATGAAAGAGGACGGGGTCGTCGTTCCTCCAGCTGGCCCGGCTGTCCTTAATGACATGACTGCAGCGATTGCCCAGGTTGAAGTCGATCTGGGAATATCCACTGGCCCTACGTGGCGCGAACGGGAGTATGAACTGGACAAGAGACATGAAGTCCTAGAGAAAGTTGGGCTTGAAGTTGAAACAGACTCGTTTCTTCGACAGATTCTGTTTACCGCTGAATCCGAAGGAATCACATTAGGTAAGAAAGGCCGATTCGATTTGCCTGCCACACTAGGCAGCAGCCGTGTTTGGCATCATATCTCTATTCATCCCACCGATGACTTACCCGAAAATCTGAACCCTGTTATGCCGACTGCGACTTGGTCCGCGAGCGCCGTTTCCCGTCAACTACGGGAATGGCGACTCGCTGAGTGGGCAAACCGTCGCCTCAAACAGATCGATTTCACAGCCGACTTTGACGTGGATGAATTTATCGGTAGATACTTCCGACTAGGGTGTGGGGAAGGAAAGGACGGTGTTGAGAACTGGTTGGTTGAAAGGGGTTGGACCAACGGCGATACCGTGGTTGGCCACCAGCGAATCTGGGTCAGAGAAAATGCGTGGTGGGAAGCAGAGACAATGCTCGATCTAAAGCCTGAAGAGCCACCAGCAGCAAGCCCTTTCATGTATGGAAGCGGCATGCTTGACCCTGGCGTTCCACATTACACAGTGCCTCCCATCGCAGAATCTACCAGCCTTCTAGGGAGCCGCGATAATCTGCTCAACAGACAAAGTACACTGGTTCCCAGTGTGGCTGGCGGTGCCAAGTCAATTGCGCCCAGCGCTCCGCGTACCTTGCACACGGGCGGTGACTATGGCTTAGGCTCAAAGGGAGATGATAAGAAGTATGACAACCCATTCTATGACGAGGACGGCCGTTACTTAGGCGAGCTTGATCCTGAGTATGCCGACCCCAAACATATTGAGAAAAAAGAGATTACTCTCGGTCGACGTGTCTGGACTGGCTTTGTCTGGGCCTTGACTTTCTGGATTCCATCGTTCGTCCTTCGCTTCGTGGGCCGAATGAAGCGTCCAGATGTGCGGATGGCGTGGAGAGAAAAGCTCGTCCTCGTGTTGCTCATTCTTCTCTTTAACGCTATTGTCTGCTTCTATATCATCGCATTCGGTAACTTGCTCTGTCCAAACAAGGATAAAGTCTGGAACGAGAAGGAGGTTAGTTATCATCAAGGGAATAATGACTTTTACGTCAGTATCCACGGCAAAGTCTACGACATCAGCAAGTTCTGGAAGATCCAACACAGTGATACAAGCATTGAGACGACGACATCCAACATGGAGCCTTTCATGGGTGAAAATATGGATGCCTATTTCCCTCCTCCGCTTACTCGTCTCTGTGGTGACTTTGTGACCGATGAGTCTATCACGCTGAGAAACAACGACACAAACGCGGTGTTGTATTCAAATGCCAAGCACAGCTGTGGCCCTCTCGCACAGACGGATCCGAACACGAAACTGCACAAAATCACCTGGTACGAAGATGTCTTTTTACCAAAGATTGACGAGTACTATAAGGGTTCCCTTGTATGGAAGCGGAGTGCTGTGTCAAAACAAGCAGATAGCAGTTCACGGTACTGGGTCATCAAGGACCAAAGCATATATGATTTGACGGACTATTTCTATACCCTCAAGCAGATGAACAACATAGACAGTTACGACTTCCTGCCAAGCAGTATCACGGAGCTCTTCAAGAATTATCCAGGCACCGACGTAACGGACAGATGGCCTAACAGTGAGAATGCCACCAAAGCGCAAACTTGTCTCGATTACGTGTTCTATAAAGGTAAAGTCGATTTCCGTGATAGTGCGAAATGCCAAGTCAACAATTACATCCTGCTGGCATTCACGTGTCTCATTTGTGCGGTCATTCTTGTCAAGTTCCTTGCTGCTCTCCAGCTAGGATCCAAACGTCGACCTGCCCCGCAGGACAAGTTCGTCATCTGCTTGGTGCCAGCGTACACCGAGGGCGAGGATTCATTGCGACAAGGCCTTGATTCATTGACTGCTCTTCAGTATGATAACAAGAGGAAACTGATTTATGTCATCTGTGACGGTATGATTGTCGGTGGCGGTAACGACCGCCCAACGCCCAAGATCGTTCTGGACATTCTGGGAGTAGATCCCAAGATCGACCCTCCTGCTTTACCGTTCAAGTCGGTTGGACAAGGCAGTGATCAGCTCAACTATGGAAAGGTTTATTCCGGACTTTATGAGTACGAAGGGAATGTTGTTCCCTACATCGTTGTCGTGAAGGTCGGCAAAGAGTCAGAGCAAAGCAAGTCCAAGCCCGGAAACAGGGGTAAGCGTGACTCTCAGATTCAAATCATGAACTTCCTCAATCGCGTACACCATCGCGCCCCAATGTCGCCTCTTGAGCTGGAGATTTTCCATCAGATCAACAATGTGATTGGCGTTGACCCTGAGCTCTATGAATACTGCCTGATGGTGGATGCGGATACAAGTGTCCGAGAAGATTCACTTAATCGCCTTGTCGCTGCCTGTGCCAATGATGCTCGCATTGCCGGTATCTGCGGTGAGACAAGTTTGCAGAATGAGGAACGAAGCTGGTGGACCATGATCCAGGTTTATGAGTACTACATTTCTCATCATCTCTCAAAAGCATTCGAGTCCCTCTTTGGCAGTGTAACCTGTCTTCCTGGGTGGTAAGTATACCATATATCCATGCAATATTTACCACGAAGATGCTGACTCGGACAGTTTCTGCATGTATCGCTTGCGGACGGCGGACAAAGGCCGGCCCTTGATCATATCAGACAAGGTTATCCAAGAATACGCAGACAATGACGTTGACACGCTGCACAAGAAAAACTTGCTTTCTTTGGGTGAGGATCGTTACTTGACTACATTGATGACGAAGCACTTCCCTACCATGTCCTACAAATTCATCCCGGATGCCTACGCTAGCACTGCTGCCCCCGAGACGTTCTCTGTCCTTCTGTCTCAGCGACGTCGCTGGATCAACTCGACTATCCATAACCTGGTGGAACTGGCTGCCCTGAAAGACCTGTGCGGCTTCTGCTGCTTCAGTATGCGCTTTGTCGTATTGGTCGACCTTCTCGGAACCATCATCCTGCCAGCCACCTGCGTTTACTTGGGTTACTTAATCTACAGTGTCGCCAGCGGTGGACCAATTCCAATCATATCTATCGCCATCTTGGCTGGTGTGTACGGCCTTCAGGCGATCATCTTCATTGTGAAACGGCAGTGGCAGCATATCGGTTGGATGATCATTTATATCCTTGCCTATCCGATCTACAGCTTCGTTTTACCGATGTATTCATTCTGGAAGCAAGACGACTTCAGCTGGGGTAACACTCGTGTTGTCCTTGGGGAGAAGGGATCCAAGCGGGTTGTTGCGGTAGAAGACGAACCATTTGACCCCCGCAGTATTCCTCTCCAGCGCTGGGACGATTACGCTCTTGCCAATAATCTGCCGGGCCGCCGTGGGGATTATAGCATGAGCCAGGAGAAATTCTACGGAGGTCAATATGGAGATATGGGCATGGAAATGGATGATATGCATTCGCAGTATTCCTCGGTCAAGCCTGCATCCACGATCTTAACCGGATTTCCAGGAGCAGGCCGGAATGGTAGCCCTTACATGCCGCCGCAGTCGCCCGCCCCGTTCGGCGGCAATATCCCAGGCAACAGGCATTCGCACCTGTCCAGCTTTAGTCGGTATACCGATATGCCGCTTCAGCCAGGGCACCAGTCTCGAAACCTGTCGGTTGGAAATCTCAGCCAGTTCCAGGATCCATCAAACCGGCATAGCGTGGGACTCATGCAGAGCACTGACAATCTCCTGGGGGTTCCCCGGCCAAACTCTCGGAGCCCAGTAGGTGGTTATACCTCCCGGCCTCAAAGTGCGTTTGACTTCCGCGGAAGTGGTGGGCCTGATGAAATGGCCATTACGGATGCTATCCGTAGCTGTCTGGCCGAAGTAGACTTGGACACGGTAACGAAGAAGCAAGGTGAGCAACTGAACGCAGCCGTGGTATGAGATACATGCTAACTGAAACCATCACAGTTCGTGCATTGGTCGAGCAGCGGCTTCAAGCGACGTTGACCGGAGACAAGCGAGCATTCCTCGATCGCCAGATTGACCAGGAACTGGCAAATATGTAAAGTTGTAGAGTTTCTTTATTCCTTGTTTGATCTTACCCCCGGTACCTTAATACATATATTCGTGCGGGAAAATGTTGATATTTCGGTTTGGCATGCATGGCGTTTTGGGATGATCTGAAGCATTCAGCGAAATTTGAACGAGTGTAATAGTTGTTTATGAGAGTTGGAATGTACTCGGGATGTTAGCCTGTACATGGAGCATATGTTGTCGGACAACATCTAACGATGAACTTGCAACATGCATGTGTTATACTATACATAGTAGATGATAGAAATCTGGAATACTCAACGCCCATTCACGACGAAGTTTTGCCTCGGTATCCTATATATCATATATTCCAGAAAGCATAAACACTCCCATCCTATCCAGTAGATCAACAGCTTCATCTACACAATGACATATAAGAAAGAAGAAAGCAAAGCACCCTATCATATTGTCACGAGCTCCCACGCAGAAGCTCACTCGGCTCCAGCATTTCACCCTTCTCACTCACTCCAGACACATAATCAAACCATGTAGGACAAACTCCTACTCCTCCCCAGCATTAACAAGACCCTCCTTCTCACCTGAACCAGTCTGATCACCAGTCGACCGCCGCGCTTCTCTCAACACAATGCTGGCAAGTACGATGAAATTGACAACGAGCATAATGTGATGCAACCAGTCCGCCACATTCCGATCGAGCCAGCGCCCGAGGGTATTCGCAGCCAGGTTCATGATAGCCAGACTTGGTAGCAGTATTAGCAGCAACATTGTAATAGAAAGGAGGAGCTGAGTTATAGTAGCTGGACGTACAGAGCAGCGTTGTTTGGACGGTGACATAGCCGATCCTTTAATGTGTGCCAGGCCATTGGGAGGGTTGTTAGGGCTTTGGCGGAATTCTGCTTCAGGAGGGTTGGTGAGGGAGGCGGGGGGGAGGGGTTTGAAA